GGGGACACCTTCGCGCCCGACGTCCTCGCGTGATCCCTTGTTTGAGAGATCATCACATTCAGGCAAGACGTCGTTGGTGTAGGGATCGTCAACACTGGGATAATCGACGCTGGAGCAATGTGATGTTTTCAGATGAGTCAAGGTTCACTGTTGATTTTTTGGACAGACGTAGGAGGGTGTGGCGTCGTCGAAACGAGCGCTTCCAAGACGTTAACGTCATCAGACATGATCGATTTGGGGTGGTTCTGTTATGGTGTGGGGAGGCATCACTGTTGCTGGAAGAACGGCTTTACATGTTGTTGCAGGGCGTGTTACAGGCCAGTACTACCGGGACAACATCTTGGCAGTCCATGTTGTGCCGTTCGCACGACGTCATGGCCGCCGTTTCATCTTCCAGGATGACAACGCAAGATGTCACAGGGTCAGGATCGTTACAGGTTACCTCCAACAACAGAACATCACCACATTACCTTGGCCAGCACTGAGTCCCGACCTCTCCCCCATCGAGCATGTCTGGGACATGCTTGGACAGAGGTTACGTCAACGTCAACAACGTCCTGCCAATGTCCAAGAACTTGCTGCTGCGTTGCAACAGGAATGGGACAATCTGGACCAAAATGACCTTAGACGTCTCATTAGGAGTATGCCACGTCGGATCAATGCTTGTTTGGCAAACAGAGGAGGATTTACCCGTTACTGACTTGGTTGTGATGCTGTGGTAACTTTGCTGTTTGACCCCGGGTATCATTTTACCCTTATAATGGTCAGTCTGTGCCTTACTTAGTCTAACGATCATTTGGAATAAATCGATGAATGTGAACTTCATTTCATTTTGTCATTTGTTTCTTCGTCAGTTTCATTAGGTGACTTTAATAACACTTAAAAATCAAATATCCCCTACTTTTTTTGAATAGTATATTTGGTCCAATTTGGAGCTTTGTTAAAAGCAGCGTAATCATATTGTTACTTGTTACGCAGTTAGCTATTGGTGGTTAATCGGACTATTGACCAGTCATAATTTGGAACAGAAATTTGCTTCCATTAAAGCAAAGCAGTGTTTAGTGGTATTAGCTCTAATCAAACGAAACCCTGCGGGGAGGAAGATTAGTAATGCGATCGTGAAAACGTCATTCTCGCGTATTATCAGAGACTTTAGGCAGCTTAAATTCCTGGGACCGGCTGTTCAAAGTTCCGTTAACTTTTATGGAGTCGTTAATGAATCGTTATCTTTAACGGAGGCAAAGTCTTGCTGGAAGCCCCATTAACTTTATCATGTCGTTAACTTGCCGTTATATTTAACAGAGGTGTTGGGTTCCGTTATCTATTTAACGGTGGCATTAGTCGTCTATCAGTCGAACGGTACGGAATTACGAAAAGGGACGTTATAGCTACTTAATGGTACAATCTTATCAAAAGTTCAAATATTGAAGCATCGTGTGTCCAATTTACATGCTCATCGATCATTATAGCAAAAGCAAATATACCATGCAAAATAGTGACAATTAGGCAACATGATAAACCCTGGATGAATGACGCAATAAGACGTATGAAAAAGAAGAAAATAGATTACACAAAAAAAGCGGTAAATAAGAAATGACTACATAGACTTAATTAGAAAATTCTAAAATGACTACTTTGACAAAATAGACAAACAAATTAGTGACACAGAAAACTTGGAACAAAAACCTGGTGGAAACTTATTAATCCATATACTAAAACACACGCTGCTTCTACAAACGAATCTCCGCCATTAACAGTCAATGGTAACATGCTGTTTACTCAATCCGAAAAAGCAAATGCTTTAAACTCATTCTTTATCAAACAATCACAACTACATGGCACTAATAAATCTCTACCACTGCTTGTTATGAACCCTAACAGCATCGATAAGATTGTACCAAATCCAGTGGAAGTTAAATACACAATAGACAGCCTAGATACTACAAAAGCCTCTGGACCCGACGAAATAAACACGAGAATTCTAAAATACATCTCAAAAGAAATCAGTCATCCACTTTGCCAACTTTTTAAACTATCATTAGATCTACAAATTGTACCAAACATTTGGAAATTTGCAAACGTGGTCGCTATATTCAAAAAAGGCTCTCCAAACGATTGTAGTAATTATAGACCAATCTCCCTCTTAAGTATAATAGTCAAAATTTTGAAAAAATCATCCACAAACATGTCTTTAACTTCCTCAGAGATAACTCAATACTAACACCTGTCCAGAGTGGCTTTCTTCCTGGTGATTCTACCATATTTCAACTAATCGACCTAACACACGTCTTCTGTCGAGCCATCAACCAACATCAATATACTAGAATAGTCTTCTGTGATATTTACAAGGCCTTTGACAGGGTTTGGCATGCCGGACTCTGTCGCAAGCTGGATGCTGCGGGGGTTCGAGGAGATCTAATGCTCTGGTTCGTAGATTATTTTTAAAAAAATAGGCAACAATGTGTAACCATCAGTGGCACCTCCTCGGACCCCAGAAGCACCCCTGCTGATATTCCGCAGGGATCTGTACTAGGCCCTCTTTTATTCTTAATATACATAAATCACATTGTGAACAATATAAATTAAAACATTAGATTATTTGCTGACGATACCTCTTTATACTTAAAAATTGAAAACCCAGAGGCAAGTGCTGCTACCATTTATGATGACTTAAATCGAATCAGAAATTGGGCTGAGACATGGCTGGTAACTTTTAACCCCCTAAAAACAGAGACACTGACTATTATTACTAAACCCCACATAGTTAACACACCATTATTTATGAACCAGGTACAAATCAAAGAAGTAAGTGAACATAAACCTCTAGGTCTAATCTTTCAAACTAACTGTAAATGGAATAATCATAACGATAGCATTGTAAGCAAAGTATCCAAACTAGTAAATTGTCTTCGTTCTCTAAAATATCGATTAAATAGAAAATCTGTAAACATAATCTCCTCTTATTTTATCCTTCCACACTTTGATTATGCCGATATTATCTGGGATGGGTGCAGTGATTATTTAGCTACAAACTAGAATCCCTACAATTAGATGCACTGCGCACTATCTGTGGGGCGGTAAGAGGTACTAGCCATGCCTTAATCTATAAAGAGACTGGGTTTGTTCCACTCTCGGAAAGACGTCGAGGTCATAAATTAAAATTAATGTATAAAATTATTAACAACCTCGTGCCATCATATCTCTCTGACCTATTAGAACTGTCCTCTACCCCTATCAAGTATACCCTTAAAAACAAAGATAAACTAAAGGAAACCAGATGCAGAACCGAAATTTTCTCCGAGTCCTTCATCCCTTCCAGTATACGAGAATGGAACAAACTTAACGTTGAAATTAGAAACTCTCGATCCCTTGCTATCTTTGGAAATTCACTAAATAAATTAGATACCATCGTGTCATCATATTACTATACAGGGATACGATAATTACAAATAATCCACTGTAAACTAAGATTATGCTGCTCGAACCTACAAGGCCATAAATTCCTTAGACACGTCGATGATAGCCATGCTTGCCTCTGTGGTCACAAATTCAGATGCAAGAAAACAGACAATCCATAACCTTCAACATAATCATAAAACAGTCATTTGTCTGTTGTATGGGTCAACAAAATTTAGTCCTGAGATAAACACACTTATTTTCCAAGAAGTCCAACAATTTATTTTCTTATCAAAAAGATTTAAATCTCCATAAACAACTCTTAAGTCATTCCAAGCCCTGAACACTGTACAATCATCTAAGTCTCTATATTATCCATGATGTATCCTATATGCTCTATATTTATGTAATTATGTATGTAGGCCTATGTATGTATATATTTATAATGTGTACATGTATCTAAATCAGAGAGAGATGTTGCACATAGGCATAGCCTGTTCCCCCAATCCAAATTCAGATTTAATGAATAAAAATATTGTTTAAAAAAAAAACAAAAAAACTTTATCATGTCGTTTACTTGCCGTTCTATTTAACGGAGGTGTTGGGCTCCGTTATCTTTTTAACGGTGGCATTAGTCGTCTGTCAGTCGAAGTATACCCTTAGCAAAAACTCATAGATTGCCAGTGTAATTTTGGGGGCCTGTAGGAAATAATGGCCCCAAATATTCTATAGTTTGTGTAGTGCAAATCCCATAATTTTTTCTGCAGATTTATGCTAAAATTTCTAAAAAAAAATATAAGTATTCTATATAGTTTTTTTTTATTGTGTTTCTGTAGTAAATTCTACAGTTAACTGTCTTCAGTTTCTTGTTAATACTAACTTCTATGAAGTTATTATACATCCTACATTGAATTTAACATTTTAAAATTCAGCCAATGAACAAACAGAACTTTAATCAGTCCGATAGCTAACGGATAATGAAACTGGCTTGCTAGCGACAGAAATTTAACAAACAACACGTTAACAAACCACACGTTAGCAAGATAACCATCCGTGACCGTTAAAATAACTTAGATATCGACTTTGTGTGTGACGTCATCAATGTGTGTGTATTTCTCATACGTGATACGGCACGCGGATACGAAAGCACGTGTCGAGAGAGAGAGGCAGAGAGAAATGGGGTTTAACGTCCACTAGGTCATTTCGGGATTAACATGGTTCAATTTTATTTCAGCTTGGGCATGCGACCCTACTCCTTGTCACGTACAACCTGGGAATGGAAACCACGCCAGTTGACTCAATCTAGACATTACAGCGCGCACGTGCTTACCATCGCATTCGGCCATCCAATATACATATCAAAATAACAGTTATAAAATAAACAACCTTTATATATGTTGGCCTAAATATATTTTAGTGAAATCTCTTATTCGGTTATCACTTTAAAAATTGTCTTTAATTTCGTCAAGCCAATTACAAACTGTAAAAATTATCCAAATGCATTTCAAGGTTATTTTAATATTTGAACCTGCACTTTCATTCAAAGCGCGTGGATGTGTGGGCAAAAATATTCATTTGGCAATGTTAACCTTGGCCTTACACGACAGTTCACCACGTGCTAGCACATTGACAATTCACAACAAGACTAAAAAAATGGCGGGCGAATATGAAAAGTTACGCATTTTGGGCTCAGGAACTTTTGGGAAGTCCTGGTTATCTCAATGTAAATCAAGTCAGACAGAATATGTTCTGAAAGAAATAAATGCTGGGAACGCAACGAGAGTAGAAATACAACAAACAGTTGCAGACTTGTTATTGATTTGTGAGTTAAAACATGAGAATATTATAGAATATTTGACAGCATATGTTGAAGATCGCGGGTTGTTTTTAGTTCAGCAATATGCAGATGCTGGTAAGTTCATAACGGCCGCATCATCATAGAATACAAATCGCAATTAGAAGCCTATGGCCCATTTTTTGAATTGTGTTTTTGTTTTGTACCAGATATGCCTGCTGATTTTATTAACCAAATTCCGCCCCCCCCCCCAATCATTTTTAAAGGCAAGGTAAAGTGACACTATATTGGAGGGTTCTCATAAAAACATTTAGAACAGCTTTTTGGTGCCTATATGTCGGTATCTATATGTGCCTGCATGAGATGGACCAGATAAACAAACTCCAACACCACCTTGAAATTTGAAAACAAATTATTATAGGTTTTCAAGGTTTTCTGATATTTTATAAACATTCCACTCAAACTCAACAGGCCATAAACATTCCACTCAAACTCAACAGGCAATGGATTACTTTAACTGCAGATGTATGGTGCACCACTAGATAACAAACCTCATCTCTCAACCCTCTGTGTTTTGAGATAAGAGATGGTGCTATATAGTTCCATGTAGGAAAGCCCAATGCAAATCACGTCAGGCCTCAGTAAGCAATATTTTTCATCAAAACAACGATTGATTATTGTTATTTGTAATATTTCTGTCACATCCAACTACAATGCATATAATCCGACTTGAAACGGGTATAAATCATCGTATTTAAAATTGAGACGTTAAGCTTTTACTAGGAACTCCATTTTAAAACGGGAATATTTGGAGCTAGGTAATAGTTGTGCCACTACATCAGGGGCAGATCCAGGAATTTTTGCAGGAGGGGGTTTGCCAGGTTTCTGAGACAATGTATCTCCCCCCCCCTCCCGCATGGTCTCTATCGTCATTTTGGAGTATATACATACACATTGAGCTTTTAAACAGAGAAATTCAACACCTAGTTTGACGTCAATTTTTATTATGAATTAATACAATAACATTGTGATTCAATTTCATGGATGCAAACCCCCCCTCTGGATCTGCGCGTGTACATCGGCCTCTGTAAGTTTAATTAGTCATAAAAGTATAAAATTATCTTATTTTAGAATTAATAAAGAAATTGAGTTTGCCATTTGGAACTAAAGGCACCAAAGCGAAGCTAAAAACAAGCACATCAGTATATCTCAATGTTTTTGGCTATGTTCTTGTAGCTTGGTGCACAACTAGCAAACAACTAAAAGCAACTGTTTTTTTAACATTACTCTCACGATGCATAATGACAACTAATTTGACTGAATGTATCATAATTTGACAATAAGCATCATTTTATAGTCATGTATTCCTTATAAATGCTTCTACATCTACACACAGTTCACATCAAGTTTGATCAACATCTAAGTTTTCAACCCTAAGCTTTACTTATTGGTTATCCTTTTGATGCACATTGTGACAGTTTTCATTTTGCCCCTAAGGACAAACTATTTCTTTGCCTTGCAACCCTTGCTCTATTTTTTATTTATTGTATCTTTTAATATTGTGTCAGTTTCCATTTTGTCCTCAACATATATCATAACAAATTTGATTATAACCATGGCATCAGGCCGAGTACATTTCTAATTATTTGTGTTTTTTTATACGTCCACATTTTCATGTGGATGTATTATGCCGTCGCACCTGTCTGTCTGTCCGTCCGTCCGTCTGCAATTTGTTTGTGGACACTCAACAATTTTTATCCGATTTTGAAAACACTTGAAATATCCCAAAGATCTCGGTTCCTTTCGATATTGTTATGTATTATGGCCCCCGATTGTACAAAAAATCACGTTTTTAGCTTGTGGACACCCTAGAGGTCACAATTTTCACCCGATTTTGATGAAACTTGAAATCCATGTTTATAACCCAAAGATCTTGGTCCTTTGCGATAAGGGGGGTTGGATGGCTGAATGGTTAGCGTGCGCGCGCTGTATCATAAAGTCTGTCATTGAGTCGACTGGCGTGGTTTCGAATCCCCGGTTGTACGTGGCAAGGAGTAGGGTCGCCTGTCCAACCTCGTGGGTTTTCTCCGGGTCCTTCGGTTTCCTCCCACTGCTAAAGACCCCTACGCGCAAGCGAATTATGTAAATAAAATTAAACCATATGTTAGTCCCGAAATGACCTAGTTTGTGTCGAGTGGACGTTAAACCCCATTTCTCTCTCTCCCCTTTGCGATATTCACGCATATCGGATCGTAACTTCCTGAATTATTATCCGATTTATAAAAAAAACTTGAAATGCATGTTTATAACCCGAAGATCTTGGTTCCTTTCGATATTCACGCATATCAGATCGTAACTTTATGAATTATGGACCCTGATTGTATGAAAAAGCAAATTTTTAGCTTGTGGTCCCTCTAAAGGTCAGGGGGGTTGGATGGCCCGAATTGTTAGCACATTCTCATTGTATCATAAGGTCTGTCATTGAGTCAACTGACGAGGTTTCGATTCCCCTGTTGTACGTGACAAGGAGTAGGGTCGCCTGTCCAACCTCGTGGGTTTTCTCCGGTTTCCTCCCACTGCTAAAGACCCCTACGCACAAGCAAATTATTGAAATAAAATTATGGCCCCTGATTGTTCGAAAAATCGCATTTTTAGCTTGTTCTCTATCTATCTCTTGCAAATTGTGGGCGTATCTTGCCTGGCAACCAGTGGTTTTATTATTTAGGAAATCTAGAAGTGAGAATAAAAGAGCAGGGTAATATTCATTTTACTGAATGTTTAATATTAAACTGGTTAATACAGATGACCATGGGACTAGCATTTCTACATACATCTCATATACTACACAGAAGTAAGTAGAACATGGTATGCCACTTCTTATTGGAGAGCTAGTGCTTACTCAAATATTAAATTTGAATGATTTTAAAGGGCTGTTATGGAATAATCTTTTAATATTCAGTGTTCAGTTCTATTTATGTGTTTCATATTTACCACTATTTATTCAGTGAAATCAAATAATATTAAAAAATAAACATATAACGGAAAATATAATTTAAAAGATAATTTCTTAGAAATATGTTTATTTATTGTCAGTATTCGTATTTTTGTTACAAAATTTATAGTCATTTCAATCTTAGATAAAAAAAAGTTTTGCTGCTGTCAATAGAACGAAATTGATTTTAGAACCATTAAATATGCACACCAATAGTTATAAGGTGTTCACATCATTTTGTTAATATTTTGTTTCAGATTTAAATCCAAACAATATTGTGTTTACATCGGATAATTGTTTGAAATTAACAGATTATGGTCTAACAGAGGTGTTGAGTGATAAGTGTTATTATGGCTTGAATTTTACCAGATCAACCCACTACCTCAGTCCAGAAATATGTCAAAATGAAGAGTATCCTTCATTAAATATCTTATCTTGGGTGTTGTGTAATAAACAGGATATATGCTACCTGGTGACACTTTATGTTAGTAAAGTTGAAATCTAGTTCTGTTTTTGCTGGGGTACAAACTATTGTGGGCCAAAGTTCCACTATCTAACACATTAATTATGTGGAGATCAAAACTAGGCATAAACAAAACAAGCTTTTAACTACTTTCAATCTGACAGACATTCAACATCTATCTATGATCGACTGCAATAATTTTAACATAGGACAACTGACGGGGAAGGCGCTTCGAAAAAGTGATATTCCCTGTGTTGTTTTGTTTACATTTCATTACTATGGTTATGTCAGTGATTTCTATTTCTAGATTTTGCAAGCTTGTTGGTTTCACACACTGGGATTTTATGGGCAGAAGGGACAGGAAGTGTAACATGCAGTTTTAACATACCAACTATAGCTATAGAAAGATAACTTGTTTGACACATTTAAATTTCACTGGTCAGTGGTACAAATATTGGTTGCCTGTAAGCCCTTCGAGTCGCAGTTGCATGAAATTAACAGCAAACGATTTCCTGGGGAACAATGTTGGCATTTTCGTATCCTAATTCCTTCAATTGAGCTGGATCCCTTTCGTAAGCAATTGACTCAAAATGCTCTGAACTAAGAGAAGTATGCTTCAATGGAGATCAGTCATTCTTGCCACGTTGACATCGCTATGTCCAGACTTTTTGCGTGTTGCCTCTCTTTGAAATTTAAATAAATGACATGTCTTTCCAGATTTAGTGTTGGTAGTAGTAGTAGTACATCCCCAAGCAATGGATGTCTGTTATTCGAGTTGGTCAAAAGGACTGGATGCAGTGCTTAGTCAGGGCCTGGGGAAGCAATTCTTGGTTGGGGGGGGGGGCTACTATACGATCCCAAGACTTTAGCCGAGAGTCGAGGGACCGTCTAGGTGCCGGAAGTTCCGGTGTCTAGATCGTCAGAGACATTTTCTGAGCGATTTCTGGCTAATTTAAAGTACCGTATGAATCGAACAAATGTGGACGTATATTGCAGCGATAGAGAGGCTCGCGTTAAATTATACCAGTGGTTGCCAGGCAAGATTCGCCCACATTTTGCAAGAGATGGATAGAGAACAAGCTAAAATAAATAAAGCAATTTTTCGTACAATACGGGGACATAATCGAAGAAGTTATGGTCTGAAATGTGTGAATATCGAAATTGACTGAGATATTTGGGATATAAAGATATATTTTAAGTTTCATATTTCAAGTTAACTCTAGAGGGACCACAAGCTAAAAACGTGATTTTCCGTACAATCAAGGGCCATAATTCAGGAAGTTACAATCCGATATGCGCGAATATCGAAAAGAACCAAGATCTGTTGGTTATATACTAGCATGTTAAGTTTCATCAAAATCAGATGAAAATTGTGACCTCTAGAGTGTCCACAAGCTAAAAATGTCATTTTTCGTACAATCAGGGGCCATAATCCATCAAGTTTTGATCTGATACATGCCAATATCGAAAGGAACCAAGATCTTTGGGACATAAACCTATATTTGACGTTTCGTCAAAATCGGATAAGTATTGTGACCCTGTAGAGTGTCCACAAACAAATTGTGGACGTCCAGGGGCGGCGACAATACGTCCACATGAAAATGTGGGCATATAAAAATACGTGCACATAAGAAACGAAACTGATACTGTGAATATGTACAGATGGATTAAATTCTGTAAAACTCAGCCATGGAAAACAGTGTATTAAATTTCAATCAAATATCCCAAAATTTGAAACAACGAAACAAAATTTCCGAAAAGCAGAAGGGCTATAATTTAGTAAAAATTGAAGGATTTTTTTATTTTATACATATACTATATAGATTAATTAGAAAATTTCAATTCCGTTTTCGTTATTACCTTACTGTCTTTAATTTCTGGAAGCCAAAAATCTCAATCATTGTTTATCTTGGTGAATTTCAATGGGAAAATGAACAATATTATGATTTACAAGCAGCTATTTGAATTTTGATGGGGTTTTTTTGTGGTCAAGGTCAACTGAACAACGGAATGTAACTTTAATACTATAGAGCTGTGATTATTAAAACAAAAGTAGAAAAACGGAAGATAATTAATGGAAACACAGAATGAACACAATACAAAGTTCCTTACAATCTGATTGAAACACAGATCCTATTTCGTTTCGTTTTTTATAGTTCAAAATTTCATTTTACTTGTCTTTACTACACAAGGATCTGGAAGAGTTGTTATATTACTGGTGTTTTGGTTAAAATGAGTGATAGGCCAATGAAACAATCTGCTACAGCAACTTCTTGGTGTACCATGCACGGAACTGTGGGTAAACCACTAGAAACGCCAACGCTGATTGATTAATCAATGTCTGACGTCATAGGGTCAAAAAACGCTTGTACGACCTCTGACACGACCTTCGAGTACAACTTGTCAGATCTTCATATAGTGTAGGACAACGGAAGCAGCAAATGATACAAAATCTAATCTAAAGACAAATCTTCAAGCCACCATTCACGATTTATTCTCTCATGTACACTACAAGAACTAGAAATATTTACACTAAAGAGATTCCAGCACCGACTCCATTCCCATTAGTGTTCGATCCCAATAATAATTTAAAGAATATTTTCTTTAGAAATTTATAAGTGTTCATACAGAGGCAGGCCCGTAGGCTGGAAGCAAGGTGGGCGGGTTCGTTTGTGAAATAAAAGGACCGACTATATAACCAAACGCTGCTGGCGTTAGCTGCTAGAGGTGGGGTTGGGAGGGGATTGGGCTTTTACAATTTTTTGAATTTTTGTTACAAAATGGTGTCTAAATATGCATTCTCAGCGATTCTGAGGAGTTTTATTTACCAATAACAAAATAGTTCAGAGAGCAATTTTTTAATAGAAAAAAACATTCAATAAAGTGTTTAATTTAAAACTAAAGAACAGTAGACCTACACTTATATCCATTCTGCCCATATCTTTTCCCTTTGTCTTCTTTCTGGATTGCCCATGACAGGTTTTAAAAAATGTCTTTTCCGATAAATTTCCTAAATTTCTAAACCATCTTCAAAACAACAAAAACATTTCACTTACTTGTAATAATAAGTACACGATGCTTGGCTCAGCTTACTGTACTTCAAAAAGTATAGGATTCGAGTCTTAAATTTTAGATTTAATTGCCTATATTCCACAGAGAGAGATAGAAACCAGTCTTTAAAAATATGTTTATTTAGTATGGCAGAAAATATAGCAATGAAGGGTTCCCCTGATATACAAACTAAATCCTTTAGTTAGGTGATTTATCGTCCAGTATACCAGATAAAAACAAAATCTCAGTTATTCCTTTAATACCCAGCGTATCAGATATGCACACCTACATGATATACATATTATAATCCCTATGGAATATTTTAATTATTTACTGTTATAATATGAATTATCACTTATTCCCTGTTAATAAAAATAGGTCACCTGGGACCAACTCGACACTTTCTGAAATGTCAATAAAAACCCTGGAATGATTTCAATTTCAAAAAATAAACAGTAAGCAAAACATCGGAAATAAGTGGTGGGGACACAGTATATCATGTCCCCACCACTAAAAATATTGGCGGGGACGCGTCCCGGTGTCCCCATTTTGAATGCAATAAAGGTCACAGTTTTTAACAAATCTTTTTCAAATTTTGTATGAAGCATTGGGTTCATTAGAAGACAAACTCTGTCACTATTCAGGAATGTGCAAACCTCCGTTCCAGAATTATCCCCCATTTGCCAAACGCTATCTATAAAGGCTACAGTTTTTAATAAATTCATTTCAAATTTTGTGTGTAGCATTGGGGTCATGAGAGGACGAACCCAGTCGATATTCAGCCATACGTGAAACTCTGTTGCAAAATTATACCCTTTTCCAAAACCTTGTGAACTTGATCGAGGCTGCAGTTTTTAACAGATTTTTGTCTAATTCGATGTGAAGCATTGGAACAATGAGAGAATGAGCTCTAATGACTTCCTATGTTCTATTGCAAGATCTTGGAGTATCTTGCATTGTAACTGCTTGTTAACAGATACTTTGTAAGCTTGGAACACAGTAAGGTTTCGATTTCTTGAAGGCTTAAAGAATGAAATCAAATTTGGTCAGCATCAAAGTTTTCCTTACAAAGCATCTCTGGTTTGAATCCAGGCATAGAAGAACCATCAGGATTTGTGAGCTAAGCTTGTCCTTCACTCGTCTTTTAGTTGTGCAGGTGAGGCTGACATAGATTGGATAGGACAGCAACATATGCAGGCCATTCATAGATTGGCCTATGTTTTGAAAGAAATGCAGTCTCCCGGACTATGTTTGTATTATTTTTATATCCTTACCTTATATAGATATAACTCTAAGAGTGATATATGGTCATTAGGATGTATATTATATCAGTTATGTTCTTTACGGGTTCCATTTCAAGCACCTGAGTTTACTTCTCTACTGATGACCGTTCAATCAGGAGCTTATGATCCAATTCCAAGGTACCATAATCAGATCTTTATTTATAATTCTTTTAGTTTATTAAATGCAGACATAAATTATCCTCAACTTAACAATATTGAATATTATTGAACAACCAAGAAAAAGACAATACTGGGAGCATGGTTTCGATTCCACATTTGTACCCGACAAGGAGCAGGGTCGTCGGCCTAACCTTAAGGATTTTCTAGAGGGTGCACCAGTTTTTTTCCCATACACACAATCAAATTATTGAAATAAAATTGAACCCATAAAACATCCACTTGACACAAACTAGGTCATTTCTGGACCAACATGGAATGTCGCAGATTTGAATCTTGGCTGAAAAGAACCGTGAGATATTTCAAACCTGTTACCCACTTGTCAGGGGTTGCACCTGTGGAATTAACTAGGAAGGTGTTTCATGTAATTTTTCTTTGGTGGATTAAGCCCAAAAATATTGTATGTAGTGATACAATAAGCTAATAACTTTTATTTAAAGGTAGGGGTGGGCAGTCTAATACATGTACAGTAAGTGCCTGCCTAACCTCATCAGTTTATTCCTAAGGGTTGACCCAACCCATCCTCACCTAAGCTACTTAAAGGCTTAAACACCTCTGCACACAAGTAATAATTATATCATGTGTCTTTCCTGAAATTACCTAGTTTGTGTTGAGCTGATATCATCACCATTTCTTCCTTTCTCAATTTTCTGTTAGTGATACTTTTAGCAGTATTTTATTTTCAGACATTATGGCTTACTATTACAAGATTTGGTTGCTGTGATGTTGAGAATACCAACAGGTGACCGACCAAGCATAGACCAAATTCTTTCAGTACCAGACCTACAACCGTATATTTCAGAATACAGACATAATGAGAGTGGCAGTATCAAAATTATTGAGAGAAAACGACAATTGCCTTCTCCATTCATCCAACCTGGTGATGAAAAGAAAGATAAACATGAAAAAACAAACGAAGTTAACAATGACATTGGATTTCTGCCACCGATGGAAGTACCGTTTGATGAAAATCACAATGTTATACTAAACTCCGCCACGTTAGATGGCCCGGATGACTGTGACAAAATCATTACTAAGGCGGAGGAGAAAGAAATAATTGGTTGTTATACACCTGAGAAGAGGAAAGAGGAAGAAATGTCGATAGATCATAAAACACCTGTTAGTGTAAGTGTCAAAACTGGGCAATTCGGTTATGTTAACTTCCAAAATAAATGAAAAGGGGGGGGGGGGTATTAGGTGTTTTAAAACAATGCATACCCCAGTCTGTGCATGATACCTGTCAATAAGAATATGATTTGTAAAAGTGAAAAATCCGAAATGTTTGCTTACAGTTGCAAACAAAAAACCAGCTTAAGTTAAACCTGTATGATCTGTAAAACTTTGTTCCTCATTGATAAAATATAATTATTTTTATATAACAGAAAACTCCAGAATATCATCTCCCTGCTGATTGTTTTAGTGTTGAAAGTCCCAAAAAAATGAGATTAACAGTTTCACCGTTAATGAAGGCCAGAATGTGTAAGCAACGAGCTGCATATTCATGTGAAAAGGGTATGAAGCTAAATGTGGGAAACCAGGTGAGAAATAACCAAATCGTCGGTGAAGTGTCAAAAGGGTGTATCTAAGAATTTCTAAAGATTAAGAAATAGAACCATTTGCATTTCAAAATTTGCACAAATCCAGATACATTATTTGGACACATGATACCCAGAACAGTTCTAATTGGCATAGAGACACACAGCTTAGACAGAAATGTGCATATTAATTGGGAGATTTTAAAAATGCAAAGAAGTGTATTTGACTAATTTCCAGAGATACACCCTTTTGACACTTCACCGACAAAATAAGGTTTTTGAGATTGTAATTTTTCAACTCCTGTCTTTCTGTTCATATTTTGGCTGTTGCAGTTTGTGAATGCGATACTGTCAATGGAACTTGGTGGAAATGTTCATAGGGGCATAAGGACAAAACCTACTAAAATTCAGATTATTTTGATTATATATTTTGGAGTTATCCTCCTCATTAGACTCTTGAGTGTGATTTCAGCAGTATAGGAATCCTTTGCAAACTACATTGTAAAAGGAATATCAGTCCAAAAACTGGTTCAGTTCCATTCAGTAAAATATGATGAACTTAAATTCTATCTATGTTGCTCATATGCACACTTTACTTTTTGTCCCCTACCTTGGTATATGTTTTTATTAGGTGAATGTCTTGATATATTTCGAAGAGATAATACTCTGCTTAGGCTACGTGATGATTGGCATTTCAATTCGATGATGCTTCGGGACACAATGACACCCTTATAATTGAGCTAGAACGTTCAAACTTGGTGTTCATTAGGTGAATGCCTAGATGGGGGTTGAAGATGAGCATAATCTGCTTAGACACTGTCTGTCACTTTTTGGGAAACATTAACTCTTTCTAGAATAAAATTAGATTTCTCTCATGAAGCGACTAAACCAGCTAAGAATTTCTTAACTCCGGTCATCTCAAACGAGAAACCGAACCCAAAGTCAAACATTACCTAGGGAGAAGTTGACCCTTTACTGAAACGACTCAGATAGATTTTACGTCCGGAACATTCCAAAAGTATAATCTGCCAATCATAAAGCATTTGTTCTGCAGTGGACCCTCTAGAGGTCACAATTTTGATCCGATTTTAATGAAACTTGAAATGCATGTTTATATTCACACATATCTGATCTTACCTTCCTGGATTATGGCCCTTGATGTTATGAAAAATCGGTTTTTGCTTAGCTTGTTCTCTATCCATCTCTTGAAAAATGTGGGCATATCCTGCCTGGTAGTCGCTGTTTTTTTAAATTGAGAGGACAAACCCTATCATTAATCAATATTCTGTGACCTTTTTGTTAGAAGTTCCACCCCTTTCTGAAAACCTTGTGAATGCGATAGATACTACACTTTTTATACGGCATATGCCCACATTTTCATGTGGACTTATATTGTTGTCGCCCTGGACGTCCGGACATCTATCTGACAAAAATTTAGCATGGATGACTTTGCTGCTTGTAGTTATAAATGTGTGGACACTTACAGTTATATATTATCAATGGTTTAACCTAAATATATGTACGATAATGTGATTTCAGGGTTTGGGTGAAGCTCCAATAATGAATTTATGTCAACCATTTACCAGTGTGCGCAGATCAAGGTCTGTTAAAAGTATTGTTAGCAGAACCCCAGATAAGAATCTTGCGACACCACCAGTGATGTCACCTAGCGAAATAATGAATGATTCTGGTTTACCTGACAGTGATGTGTTTGCAGCAGGTCTCGTCTCTGGGACTCAGACTTCTAGTGATACAAATTCGGCCACAGGGGCTGTATCTACACCATTTCGTGTTCCCTTAGATCGACCTCGACGTTCGGTTCCTGTAGTTGATATGAGAGAAGGTAAACCATGTTCCAAGTTTGTCTGAAATTAGCCAAACATAGCAGAAGAAATTGTTTTTATTCTTCAGTCCAATATATTTTGTGGAGTTATCTTTCCCTTCTTCTGAAAAAACTATTCTCAGTCTGTTTTTATACACCCACACAAAGTTTGGGTGTATATAATCGTCGCGCCCGTCTGCCCGTCAACATAACGTTGGGGTCGTGAGAGGACAAACCTCATCAATTATCAGCACTCCATTTTAATAAGGTTTTCGGAAAAGGCCAGATAACTTAAGAGCATGACAGAGGCTACAGATTGTTCGTTTGAAGAGTTGGGGTCATAGAGTTGGGGTCATGAGAGGACCCTATCAATTCTGTAACCTTCCATTGTGAGTTATCACCCTTTGTCCAAAAACTTTGTTAACATGATCTAGAGGCTACAGTTGGGGCTGCGAGAAGACAAAGCTTATCGTTTTACAGCACTCCGTTTATCCTCCCTTTTCCACAAAACCTTATGATAGAGGCTACAGTTTTTAACGATTTCTTTTATATGCTGGAGTTGACTTTCCCTTTCCAAAACCTCTTTAATGTTAGTAATAGATTTTTTTTTCATGTTTGGTGTGTGGCATAGAAGTCCTATTGATATTGATCATTCAGCAATATTCTGTTCCAGACTTAACTTTTCACCTTCTTAAGTGTGTTAGACCACAGTTTTTATAGGCCCCTACGTCTAAATTGAAATGTTATGCCCCTGCTTTTCAATGATTACCACAAATATAAAAGCTAAATTCATGATATTACATGGGCAGGACTAGAAGCCAAACATTCTAATGATTTTTGATAATTGCTTAATGGGTTGTTACTCTTAATCAGATTGGAATGTGTTGTAAATGTTTTTATTACCGACAAAAGAAAAAATATGCAACAGCCCTTGTTAACTCCTCAAACCACTCAGCTGCTGTAGGCGTATGATTCAGTGAATGGTAACCTATCTTCCATTTTTCAAATTTGTGAGAAAAATAACTCTATTGCTTTTTAAATTCGGTGTGAAGCATTGGAATCAAAAAAAAATGAACCAAGTTCATTTCAGCAATCTAGTACTTTAAAATATATGTGTGCAGAAAAGCTTGTAAACATGATAAAGCTTATCCTTTCAGATAAGCTGCAGTTCAGACATAGCTGTTGTGTGGGCATATTCCCACGCTTGTGTGGCTATCTTATTAGAACTAGGAGAGATTGTTCATAATCGAAATTAAAAAGATTTCATTGATAGTGTTGATATAGGCCTACCTCTGTTTACTTTCAAATTCATGAAATATTGTGAATGTTATACACAGCATAAGTTTTCAATATAATATTGATAGATTGCTCAATGTGGCATAAAAACAACAAAAAGGACAAGTTTAATAGATATCAGACTAAATTTCAAAGGTGTTGGCAAAGTTACGTTACATATAATCTTTCTGTTCACAATTTGACTTTTAAATAATATAATTTTTAAACCTGCTCTGTTGGATTTGTTGACAATAATTTTGGATTTAACGGGAGTTTCTGCTTTGTGATACCTAATTAAGCTTTATACCAAGGATATGTATTTTTATGGCATGTATACTCAGCCAAATTAAAAACTTGACACACAGGATTTTTGGGACTAGATTTTTAATATTTGGTTTAAGGCAACTATTTTAGTGTTATGTTGTGCACAGACGACCTTGACATCAACAGAAAGCAAGAATACGTCTCGCTGAAAGTCCTTGACATTGATAACGTTCGTGATGTCACAGTACCCCCCAAAATGAAATTCACAGACTTGGAGAACAATCGGAATAAAGTGTTTAGTAACGGTTGTGGCCTCCTCTAGCGTCTCGTACTGCCACACAACGTCTTCTCATGGATTTCAGAACATTAATAAACACTACCCGAGGAAGACGTCGCCACAGCTCAGCAAGAGCATGTTGAAGGTCCTGCAACGTCAGTGGTGGATTCACTTGCTGACGAACACGTCAACCAAGTTCGTCCCAGATGTGTTCAATAGGATTAAGGTCGGGGCTAATCGACGGCCAATCCAGGACTTGGACACCGGCATTTCTTAAAAAATTCTTGGTAGCAATTGCTGTATGGGGTCGAGCATTGTCTTGTTGAAATGTTAGTCCAGGCCCATGTCTCTGCATAAACGGAAGAAGAACAGGTTGCAAAATCTGATCCCTGTACTGGACAGCATTTAAGTTCCCTTGGACAACAAGAAGAGGAGAACGTCCATGTGAACAAAAAGAACCCCAAACCATGACGCTGCCGCCACCAAATCGGTCAACTTCTCTGACGCATACTATCATTCTAAGATTAATTATTGTCTGGCGTGAACAATTAAAGGCTCTCGCAACAGTGACCACAGACTGACCAGCATAGAGCCTACCTATAGCACATAGACATTCTACATTTGAAAGGCGCAGCATTTTGTAACAAAGATGAAAATAACAATTTTAATTTGTTTTTCCAGTTCAAGTTAAGTGTGCGTGTTCAGTTTAAGCAAACTTGCATCGATTGACCTCACAAGTTTGTGTTTGCACATGTTTTTCATCTTTATATGCTCAAAAGTCACGTGATCCACGTGACTTTACAATTTTATGAAATTAAAGGCTTCTTACTACTTACTATCGTTAGAAACACTTTAGAATTTATTTGACTTACCAGAAAAAAAAATTTGTTGAAATTCATCAGTGTCAAGTTTTTAATTTGGCTGAGTATATAAAAGCCTAAACATTATCATTACTGTAAAATTGGAAACTATAATGACTACAGTTTTAATATTAATGATCATATGCATGTTATTTCCTAATTTCATTATTCTTAAACATATTTGTTGTTATAAAGTTGAAATATATGAATTGAATTGTGATGATATATGGTCAGAATCTTCCTGTAAGTTATATAAATATTTAGTTAAAAATTGATGTTAGCACTATCAATTAACAAAAAAAAACAAAAAAAAAAATAATTTAATTCAATTGGTGTTTATATATCAGAGTTAATGATATATAAAGTTAATGTCATTAATTAAAATAATTATTTAGTCCAGAAGGGTTAATATATTTCCAGTTTTACAGTATTTGGTTGATATTAAAATAAGATAAACAACTAAAACGAGAGTATCCTCTGACTTATAAAAAGGTCAGTAAAACTTCATGTAATATACTGTTAATGTGGTTGGGTGGTTGAATGCTCTGAAGACCTAAACTGTAAATCACATGTCTGTCATCTATGTAAGAGTTGGATCAATCCCACAACTGTATGGGGAAAAAGGAGTGACTCCTGATTGTATGCAAAATCACTTTTTATACGCCCACATTTTCATGTGGATGAATATTGTCGTCGCCCCTGTCCATCCGGACGTCTGTCTGTCTCTACAGGTCACAATTTTAATCCGATTTTGACGAAATTTGAAATATAGGTCTATCTCCCAAGGATCTTGGTTCCTGTTGATATTCGCATGTATCGGACAATAACTTCATGGATTATGGCCCCTGACTGTACAAAAAATCAAGTTTTTCTTGTGGATCGACACTCTAGTGGTCACAATTTTGGTCCGATTTTGATGAAACTTGATATGCATGTTTATAACCCAAATATCTTGTTTCCTTTCGATATTCGCGCATATTGGATCGTAACTTTCTGAATTATGGCCCCTGATTGTACGAAAAATCGTGTTTTGAGCTTGAGGTCCGTATAGAGATCACAATTTTTATCCGATTTAAAAAAAACAAAAAACGTGTGAATATATCACAGTTATACACTAATGATGGTTGAGTTCGAATTTTGTGAAAATCAGACAAAAATTGTAAGCAAATAGTGTACAAATATGGTATATCAAGGTTGTGGACCCTCTAGAGGCCACAGTTTTTATCCAATTTGGATGAAACTTTAAATATATGTTTTTATCATAAAGGTCTTGGTTCCTGTTGATAATCACACATACTGAACGTAACTTCCTGGATTATGACCCCTGATTGGTCGAAAAATCGCATTTTTAGCTTGTGGATTCTCTAAGAGGTCACAATTTTTTTTCCGATTTTAAAAACCGTTTAGATATATCACCATTCCACCATAATGAAGGTTGAAGTGGAGTTTCAGGAAAATCGAAGTGAAACTGCCCGACAAAATGGCCACAAATTGTGTATAAGTATGTAACTGGTTTAACATGTTCTCTATCCACCTCTTGCAAAATGTGGACATATTTTGTATGGCAATCGCTTCTTCCTTTTCGATAAACTTGAATGCTGTCTATGACTATCTTTTTTTTCTTAGACAAAGCTGCTGTGTTGGCATTGGGGGGGGTCTTTCTCAGCTGTATACGCTGGTCATGACTCATGGCTGAGGGCAATGTGATACTGACCGAAAGTAGATTTGACCCATCGGTCATGTTGCATGCAGGAAAAATAGCCTATATTTCAAAACCCAATTTTCAAACATGGCTACAATCAACTTCGGCCATGTAACTATAAAATTCTACGGCCTGTACAGAATATTGCACACGTATAGAAGCTATCTCATGATTGGTTTTCTAGAGTTGTATACATATTATCAACAGAGGATTATACTGAGTCTTCTGTTGTTAATTAATGATGAATGTCGGGTAGTGGAACATTTAAAGTTAATTGTTATGTGGGAATCTTAATCATTCTCTATTTGAGAACCCAAGTATTGTCCACGTGTCATAAGAATTTTTTAGTACAAAGCTGCTATACCTCTATTATGGTCACGCATGGTGGTAAGAGATTAATTTCATCTTTAAAAAGCCAATCAGATATGAAGTAAAGCTCATCGAATCCAACAAACTGTTGTATTAAAAAAAAAGCATAGAAATTATGTAAATCGTCAACTTGCTTACCGTTAAATTAAGATTACATATTCCAGTGCTATTTTATAGTAACATTGATGATCCACATGTCAAATTAGTGCAGTGTTATAATGTCTACTCTTAATATGCATGACTAATCATATTCTAGAGTGCGCTGTGTGAAGTTAGCTTGTTATTCGAATTAGTTATTCAATATTAGGATTTACATCACAATTCTGCGCTTAGTAATACTGCAAGAGATGGTCTAAAACTGATAAATGTGAGAAACATGCTGTGAATAAATTCTTTGTGTAAAGTGGTAATGATGCATAAATTTACAATACTGTACCATAATTAAAAGTACAAAAGAAATATCATTTTAATTTGCAAATTTTCCGTGCGATATCAAAAATGGCCCACAGTGAAAATTTTGAAGTGGAAGCCCTGGTTGGTGTATTGCCATGCTTTGCATGGCCATCTTTAACAGTTTCTTTTCAAATTTGGTGTAGATTATTGTGGTCATGAAAGTGTCGGCAATCTTGCTTGTTAACAAATTTTTCCAAGCTCTGTAACACCACACAGATCAGATTTCTTGTAGACCTTCCTTATCAAAATTAGTCAGCATCCAAATTTTCCTTTTGTATAAGCAGCTGTCGAGACATAACTGCTTTTTATAATTGTTTTTTTTTGTTGACTTTACAGAGAATGTTGTTAATGTACAGAATGTACATATGTTATACCTGGCCATGCTGGAGAGTAAGACATGTGAAAGTCGAGCCCATGCCACCTTAACTCTTTATCTACAGAAAAAACTTGGCATGGACGTGTTTCAACAACATTACCAACTTTGCAAGGAGGCTGTCGACACACAGATGGATTTTGATCTTCTGAAAGGACAAATGAAAAAAAGTATTACTTATTTGCCACTCTTTACAGAGATTCTGCGGCTGGAAAATGAACTGGCAGAAACGAAAGACTGAATTTCTAAGATATGTTTAAATCTTAGCCATTGTCATAAACAAAATTGTAGAAATTGTGCTATTTTTTTTTTCATAAATTATTGATCATTTCCACCAATATTCATCAATAAATTGAAACTATATTTTTCTATTTTCTAGAAAGTTGTTAAATTTGATGCAATTTTGTTCCCAGATGTAGACTTGCTACCTTTCTCCTTTCTCAGACAATCCTTACCAATAATCTGATGCGAACAGGAGGTTGTATGTTTTTATTTTGCCAACGATTCCCTAGTAAGCTAAATGACTTCTCATAAACATCACATTTCGAGGGGGGTTGGATGGCTGAATGGTTAGCGTGCGCGCGCTGTATCATAAAGTCTGTCATTGAGTCGACTGGTGTGGTTTCGAATCCTCGATTGTACGTGGCAAGGAGTAGGGTCGCATGTCCAACCTCGTGGGTTTTCTCCGGGGCCTCCGGTTTCCTCCCACTGCTAAAGACCCCTACGCGCAAGCGAATTATGAAAATAAAATTAAACCATATGTTAGTCCCAAAATGACCTAGTTTGTGTCGAGTGGACGTTAAACCCCATTTCTCTCTCTCTCTATCACATTTCGAGGCACCAAGTTTCTGTCATGGTGAAAGACTGTTCTTAATAAAATTATTATTACTAGGCTTTCACTTCCTAATGGTAAAGGCCTATTATAAGTTTTTATCCGCCCACATTTCAGTGTCGCGTATTGTCATCACCGTGTCTGTCGTTCATCGTTTTTAGCAAATTCTTTTTAAATTTTGTGAAGCATTGTGGTCATAAACTACTAGATACTACAATAAATATCAACAAATGAACAACATGTACACACTTATACACACTGAGGTTCCTCAAAAATTCAAAACAGTTAAAACATTTATATATCAAAAATGGCGTGGCAGATTTATCTCAAATTTTGCATACAATCTAGTTTAAATATACACAAGATTAAAATCACAAATTTAAGTTTGTTTTCCACTTGCCAATGCAATTTTAACATTCCAAAATAATCTATAATGTATTTTCAATCTGAAATGGAATCAATCCTAAAAGATTAATTTAATCGTTCAATGAAGTAACTTTAGATAAAATAAGAAGGCACAATAAGACGGGTTTAAACAGCCCTAAATGCACTGGACATTTCCATACCGATAAACAATAATATTAATTAAAGGAGTTAAACCTTTTTGATTTAGGTCAAAATAAACTATTGGATTTGTTAAATTTGATGATTCTTTGATTAGTAATGGAACAAAATCTGTACCACTATTAAATATTCGTTAAATATAAAATGTGTCATTTTAATTAAATTTGATGTGTTGATAAAAGTAGCTGTTAAAACCAAATTTACCACTTTATTTTGACCTAAATCAGAGATGTTTTTGCTCCTTTAATATTAATCAGAATATTATTTGTAAACAACACACATACATGTAACTAACAACCAGTTCAACTCATTGTTATAAGCTAACATTAAATAAAATATCATACAATGAATAGCCATTTTATTAATAAACACAAATAAATATTAAATTAAAAACAAATATTAAATAATGATCAATAATATTAAATTTTATTACAAAAAACATTTTATGGTTCTTGTAATGTAAAAAAAAAGAAGCTATTTTAATGCTATTTCTGCTTCTGCAAAATATCTAAAACTATATGTCTTCAATCAAATCATTACCATGGTCTCTATTTGTGAACATTTTAAACTCTTAGAGGGCATATAGCTCTAAATCAATATTACCCATAATATTCAACATTAAAAACATCAATTAGAATTCAATATTTATCAATTTCAATAAATATTGATACTGTTATCACGCTGAAAATATGGGCTCATGATATCCAATATTTATTTGCAATGGACATTTTAAAATCAGTTCACGACAATTGGTGCCCTACAAAAGCAAATCATATCCCACAAGCTGATGACGAAATAATTAACAATAGCTGATTCACAAACGACTAAAAGAAAAACTTGTAAACTGGACTTCATACATATACTTTACCAAACATCTGAATAGAAATTGCAATAAAATTTTAAAAACTTGAATGTCCCAATCCATTTTTGTCCAAAGAATAGATATATATACGCCTTTTAAAATAAATAATAATCGAAAATAAATAAATAAATACTTATTACCATTCATGGGCAAATGAAGATGGGAATTTGAAAATACCGGTAACACTGAGAGATTACTCTTCGAAACCTCGTCTAAATAAAGAAGTAGACGTCTTTCCATAAGTATGTGTTATAGTTTTGGTCTATCCAGTTACTAAATGCCAATAAAAGATTACATTGTTCTCTTAAAACATGTAAAACATTAATTCAGAAAACATGTGATAAATATAAATTTCAATGTCAATTACTTGTAGCAATTTTTTTAAACCTAGTATTTCTTTTGCCAATATGCTCACCCGGTACTTTTATACATGCAACTTCTTACCAGTATTTAAATATAGTAAATTAGCAATTTATGTTAAACTGATGATCTATGTTTCTGTATTCTAACATCAACATTTCAAGCACAAAATCAACATTGTTAACAATAAATTGACTCATGTTCCGTTTTCAGCGTTTTATTGGTAACATTTCTAAATCAGTAAGTATTAAAATTAAAAAATAATTTTTTAATTTTACACGACCAAGGAATCAATTTATTGGTTTCTAAAAGTTTTTTTTTTTTTAAATTCTGGAATCTGTACTCTTATGAAAATATTTTCTATGTTTTAAAAAGCCTTGTTATTAAAATCTTGAAATTAAAATGTCGAGAAGATTACAATGTATTAGCAGAGATCATTATAGTGTGTGTTTTCAGCTTTGATACAGACTACCCCAAACTGTGTCACAGTGATAACCACTGTGCAAATATCTGACCATAAGGTGTTGATAACACATGCTGTTTCAGACATAGTAATACAAACTTGTTTGGGCAGAATTACTCATTTTAATCCTTCGCATACTTTTTTTATGTACCCATTCATAATAAATAAAAAAAATTAAACTTGTCCCAATGTCATCTCTATCAGTGATATTGACAGCCAAGTGAATACTTACTGCTGATAGTTTGATAGTAAATTGAAAGTAAATAGTGGAAATGCAATATTTAAGAAATGAGTCATATTTGATAAAATTAGTATTTTCACGTGTGTAAATAGCCAATTTATATTTAAAATTGTAAAGTAAGAAGTTACATGCACCGAAGCCAGCATACATATACATTACTGGGTTAAGAGTTAGAATTATGTCATGAGTTCTGCCCTATACAACTTCACCAGGTTCATATGTATGTATAAATTTGATAAAGTTAATTTTCAGACTGGACGGATATCACATACTCAGATTGCGTAGACTAAAATCATCTGTTCATTCAATCTGAAATTATTTGCTTCTATTTTGATTATTAGGCTTAAAGATACATTATGTAAGATTTAGAGAAAGAGCTAGCCATTCTAGCTTGCTATAATAGTTCTAAAAGCGATAATGTAAAATGAATAATTTGAAAATTTAATTCAAATTACTCTATTGCGAGCGAAGATATTAGCCTTTGTAGGTGTGACAAGACGTGTGCAATAATTTCAACCACTGTACTGGTTGTTTGAAGCTAAGTCTCGCTCCTCCATTTTTAGCTTAAATCAAAATATAGCTGAATTGTTCTAATCTATTTAATATCGGAGAAAACATTTCAGGCCTAAAGAAAGACCTGCAATAGGCAGATTTAGCTCTTGCATAATGTATGTTTAATGCACCCATTTTAAAAAAATCTATGTAATAAAAATATGCATTAATTCTTTCGGGGATTTTAATATAAGAATTATATATTTGAAAGTTGAAAAAAATAACTTACACAAATAATTTATTTGGTATGCATATGTGTATAGGTTATAAAAGCTATTCACATAAATAGATTAAAACAACACTGGCTAACCATAAATAAAATAACCAAATTTTGTACTCACATAATATCTTTAAAATTTTAAAAAAGGAATAACATAATTTGTATAAAAATGACCAAGTCAAGATTCTTATAAATGGTTAAATAAATTAAGAACACATTAAAACATTTCCTGAAAGTTTTCTTACAGTACAATGGAAGATTTTCAATTTTAAGATTTCATAGGCCTTATGCAAATATTGTCCTGCAACAATTATTCCTGAAATTTAAACTATCAATCATTCTAAATTATCAAACATTCTGACATTTTAAAACTGCACAGGCCTTAATTAAAACCAGCCAATATTCCAGAAATTAAAAACCGTGTGAGCCTCATTCAAATTTTAATATGCTCCAGGGCCCGCTTTCTCGAAATCTTAACTACAGATAAAATCCAAATTTTAGTAGATACTTCAATTTTGATTGGCTAAGCACTAAAATCTATCTAATATTATTCAATCAACTACTAAAATCTGGATTTTATCATAGTTAAAATTTCGTGAAACAGGCCCTTGGCCTATTTAGAATATCCTCTCTGTGAACCTGTTTGGAATGCCATAATACATCTCCAGGCACAACTGTGTCTCTTTGTCAATTGATTTAAAATTTCTTGTGACAGTTTCCCAGCAAAGTTCAGACAATGGCGAAATGTGATGAGGTATTCGCCAGCGATAGATTTGATTTGACCGTTGACCAGAGGGCAGCACTCCACCAAATAAATACATGAACCCAGAAGGAGACACTGAGGCACGATGGAAGTATAATGGCTCTGGAAGACGAACTGAGAGTTTTCTCCACTGAAAATCAATTAACGAAATAGTCCAAATGTCGTCCAGTGATTGTTGAGTATTTCCGTAACTGTAAGTTATGCCTCCACACACATAGATGGATGATTCCACTTCAACTAAACTAAAACTACATCGACATTTTGGATAACCATATTTAGAATCGGGACGTGTTGCTACTGCATCCCACCGATTATTCTTAAAGTGGTAAGCATAGACGATGGCCAGCGTTTCTGCATAGTGAAGTCTGCCACCACCAAATAAATAAAATCTACAAAATCAAAAAATAAATCATTAGAACAAAGATAGGTTGCCAGACAAAAAAAAACGCCCATAGAAATTAAATTGTCCGAGCTGTCAACAAGGGTTGTCTCATACATATTCTGATATCAATCTAATACAATTCATATTACAAGACACTGATATCATCAATTTAATACAAATCGGGTGATAACTTTTGTAATGTGAGTGTTCACAAGGGTCTACGAAGTGAAACCAGGGCCATTATTCCAGATGTTATTTTATGAAATTCTATAGGGTTCTCTGTTCTACTAATTCAAATACATGTAATGTGCATAAATTTAATAGAGATCAGATGATAACTTTTCTCGTTGAGCGTTCTGAGTTTTACAAAATGAATGAAATAAGGGCCATAACTCTAGAAGAAATTAACAGAAATTGTTGAAATTAATTAGACTTCTTCATCTCATTAATGTAAAGAACATACACATAAATTTTAAAAAGATAGCCCACACAACAGCTGTATAGCCCGGTAATTTGTTGAACTGTCAGACACCATTTCATTTATTCCATTGATATATCAATCATTCTTTCTTTGAAGTAGAAGTTCTGTTCATGGTAATAGAATAATTGTCTCTATTTCTCTACAGACTTTTGAACGTTTCTCGGGAGAATCTGACCAAAAGCTTCATTTAGATAACTCACCAAATTCACTGAGTAATAGGTTAAACCCTATTTTATTTGCAATACTATAAAACAATAGATTATGCTAGTAGTTATGAAATGCTATATCAGAAACATGGAATATCTGTGGTAAACAACCACCTTGATCAAATAGTGTGAAAAAATAAGCTTATTTTTAGCATAATCAGTTTTTATATCAATTTCACTGCCAGTCAGTCAAGATTGATATTTTGTGTTTATATTTAGATTGGGTTTTCTGTAAATTGCCAGACAGTCAAAACTGATAAATATGAAGTAAAGAGAGCCTTGACACAAAGCCAGTTATCTGCCACACAGTAAAAAATCATTTTCCTATTTTAAGAAAAATAAGAAAATAATCTTGTAACTAGAAATTATTTTCTTAAAATAAGAAAATATGGAGATAATTTTCTAGAGAATATTTTGAATGTCAAAATATTTACTTAAATTAAGAAAAATATACTCAATTAAGATTATAATTCTTAAAATAAGAAATTTTTCTGGAAATAAGAAAATTATTCTAAGAATATTTTCTTGTATCAAGTTTATGTATAAGAAAGAAAATGAGACTTCTTTATATTTCAAATAATGTTCTTATATCTAGTTTTTGTTTCTAGGTTTCATTGAAATGAGATAACTGATTATAATTATCTAACCTATCAGAATTCCAAAACCGTTGTCAATTTTATATGCTCCCCTAGTGCCTCCCACATTGAAATGCTGTTGTATATTGTTGTTGCCCCTTGTCAGTCTATCTGCAAAGGCTTGTTGCTTTTGCTTACACCAAAATGAGCTAGGCTATATATTCACTGCGAGTCCATTTCCGAATACGATTGCAATCTGTGCATGCGATATCCCTTAATTTTCTGGGATAACTGACTTAAGTTATAACCAACCTGTTTAAACAAGGATAGTTGGGTGGCTAATATGGAAATTTAATGAATAAGTACTATAGGATATTGCGTATCGGTTTTATGGAAATGGGCCCATCTATTATAGTTACCTCACAGAATTCTCAATTTGTTTATTCATTGATAGGACAGAAAGAATTCTTACAAAGATTTTCATTGTCTTTTGATTTGGTATATTCATGTCTTTTGCAAATTCATGTATATAAAGCGATCAAAATTTAATCATTCTTACATGGTGCAAGTTCCATATTATGACATCGCCAAGCTGTAGTATTTCATTTATGGAATGACTAAACCAACAAGACATTTAATTATGATAACCCAGATTTCTGGGGATTGTAATGTTTATTTTTTCAATAAATCAATTAACAAGCAGCCAACATGGATCATCTTAATTAAATTTTTAGTTTTGAACAAATCCATAAAGCTAACAAATTTAATCATTCGTTCATAGTCCTCAACATGTGCAAGTTCCATATACGCATGTAACTATATATGACATCTCAAGAGAGAGATGGAGTTTAAAGTCCACTCGACACAAACTAGGTCATTTCGGGAGTTACATATGGTTTAATTTTATTTCAATTATTCGCTTGGGCGTAGGGGTCTTTAGCAGTGGGAGGAAACCCGAGGACCCGGAGAAAACCCATGAGGTTGGACAGGCGACCCTACTCCTTGTCACGTACAACCGGGGATTCAAAACCACGCCAGTTAGCACATGCTAACCATTCTGCCATCCAACCCCCCATGACATCTCAAAGCTGTAGTATTTCATCTATGGCATCCTTATAAAATGCAAAATCAAATGCATATGCCAGACGAAGACTTAACCAACAAGACATTTAATTATGATAACCCAGATTTCTGGGAATTGTATTGTTATTTTTTTAATAAATCAATTAACAAGCAGCTTATCCGAAGAGAAAACTTGGATGTTGACCAAATCTAATATTTAGGATTCATCCTCTTATGACCCCATTGCTTCCAACCCAAAAAATCTGTTAAAGCCTATAGCCTGTATCATGTTCACAAGTTTTTTTCGGCAAAGGGGAGATAACTCAGGAACCATCGTGGAATTGTGACATCATTATAAAAATCAAAGTCCATCAGTCGATTCACCAGGCCCGTAGCAAGAGGGTGGCAAGGGGGAGCAATGCCCCCCCCCCCTCTGAAAAAATGTCCCCCCCCCCCCCAAAAAAAAAAAAATTGCCGACCATAGCTCTAAAATAGCCTACCTACTGTAGACTGTGCCGGTGCCAGGTGTGCCCCCCCATAAAATCTTCACTGCTCCTCCGAAGCTAGCAACCTGGGTATGGGCCTGCGATTCACCATTATTTTATTTGTTCAGAGGCAACCATGTCTAGTTTCATGTTCATTGTACAAGTTGAATTAGCGGAACTGCAGGATTTTTTTCCAAGAGCATCGCCTCTAAGACTAAGAGAACAAGACAAAATTGACAGGTTTCTGCTATACTGCACAGATAATCAAAAATATTACCTGTCTTTATCACAGGCTACTTCCTGTTTATATCGACCAATTGGTAAATCTCCTGATGGGGCCAGTCTTTCCCAGCTCTTTGTATGAACATCGAGTTTATGCAGTTCTGCGACAGCCTCTTCGTGGAATCCTATAGCACCACCAAAAGTGTAAATATTATTTTCGTGAAATATTAGACTTTGCCCGTACGCTCTACGAGGCATGTTATCGCCACTGTCTAGTGCATTATAAACGTTAGGGTTTGTTTCAATCAAGTACCAGTAACTCCCAGCACCTGATTTACTGACATGGCGACATTCACAGACCTTTATAGTGTTACTCATCATCTGTCCAAAAGGATATCCTGTTCCACCATAGACAAATAATTTTTTGCCATGAAGTGCTAAACAGCTCGATGCACATGTATCTGGAATACCTTCTGCTTCTAATTGCGTCCATTTTCTAGTAGCAAAATTAAATCTCCAGACTTCGACTAGAATTTTGGATTTATTGCACTCGTTGTGTGTGACGTTACTGTCACAAGGTCGGTCATATGCTGGGACGTAGCCCCCGAAAACGTATAAATTCGATTCATCGGCTACCATAGAATGCCCACTTCTTCCTTCTGGTTGTTCTGTGTTTTGAAATATATCGGTATTTACGTAAACCCGCTCGAATCCTACACCTGGACTCGACATATTGCTCAAATATTTCTTTTCAGATGAAGCATAACGGTAATATAACGGTCCAACAACAACGACAGTAAGAAAACAAACAAAGCAGGAGTTATTTCCCTGTAAAACACCCCGCCCCCAAACAGCTGATAGTAGTCTCTAGTTATCCAGTCGCTTTAGTTACCGTTACATTTAAGAAGTTTACAGCACGAGGGGCTCGTAGAAGTTAATAATGGAATGACATGCCTTTTGAGAATGTTCACTGCTAATCAGTGTGACAGATCATGTGAAGCAAATTTTCAACGGTAGCACGATTTGTCCAAATCCTCTATTATTTCAACTCCTGTCAATTTATATCAATCATTATACCATTCTGTGCCAAATTGTTTTTTTTTTTTTTTATTTGTTTTATTTTTTTAAATTAGTTTAAACAATATTTATTCATAAAATATCATATAATACATTACAGTTTTAAAGATATGATACAAAAACAAGCTAAAAGCTTATATAAATTTGCTTCATATATGTTTATGTTATTTACTTTTGATATTTCAAGAATATGATAATGTACTTGTTTCTTGACGACGAAAGTTTCAATTTAACAGTGTAAATTAATAAGATAAATAAATGAGTAACAAGCCGTTCTAACCACCACGCCAACTAACTAAATTACATTAGATATACAGTTAAAGTTAAAGAGTAATTATTGATTATTTTTTTAAATTTAAAATCAACGTGCTATATGACATGACATTTCGGTCCTGCGACATTTCGGACTCAATAAAAATAGTCTCGACGTTTCGGTTTCGGGAAGATGAAGCTTCGGACTCGAGTACCCGACAGATTGGGACTCTAGAATCAGTTGAATGGAAAAGTTGAATACCAAGGTCAAGTCCGTTTATAAAAAACAAAAATTATTTTATATAAAGAAAAAAAATAACACGCAGGTAATATTTTCCATTGTCATCAATTACATCACGTGGATCGCACTCGATCTGTAGGCCTATAGACCTATTTAAGGAACGGCTTTAATTCCAGTATGTTGATTGTTTACGAATAGAATGATTTTTTTTATATATAATATTATGTGCTTCTTTGTATCTGTAACATTTATGTAGGCCTATATTGAAATAAAAAAAAACAAATAGCCGATAAATTTATTTGAAATAGGCCAATTCCAATCTGATTAAAATACAGATCTATTATTTCGTTGCGTTTTTTTTATATTTTCAATGGCCTCTACTACATGAAGATCTTCCCGGTTGTAGTGGGAGGTCGCATCAGGGTTGTGCGAGCGGCTTTTGACCCTATGACGTCAGATATTTGATTAACCAATCAACTTTGATGTTTCTAGTGGGTTACCTACAGTTCCGCCAAAAACTCGCCGTCACAGCTTAGACCGTTTCATTGGCGAATACCTCACATCATCCAGAACGCCGGTAAGATCTTCCCGGTTGTAGTGGGAGGTCGCGTCAGAGTTGTACGAGCGGCTTTTGACCCTATGACGTCAGATATTTGATTAACCAATCAACGTTGATGTTTCTAGGAGATTACCTACAGTTCCGCCAAAAACTCACCGTAACAGACCGTTTCATTGGCGAATACCTCACATCATCCAGAACGCCGGTTATATAACAACTCTTCCAGACCCTAGTGTAGTAAAGACAAGTAAAACGAAATTTTGAACTATAGAAAAAACGAAATGAAATATAGGATCTGTGTTTTAATCAGATTGGGCCAATTCAAAACACGAAAGAAAATATTAACATGGTACAATATGTGGTTACTAAAATGTTCTACCAAATATCAGCTGCACCTACGGTTCTCTGGTAATTATCGTTTCCCGTAAAAGTAATATATTTTTAAAAAAGATAGGTTGCCAGGCAACGAAACATATACGCCCACAGTGGCTAAATCGTCCGATGAGTCAACAAGAATTTGTCCGTAGTGACACATTTTAATAATACACTAAAATCTGATTAAGAGTAACAACTCATTAAGTAATTATCAGAAAATCATTAGAATTTGTTTGGCCCATGCCAACATTTAGTATACAAAACATTTAATATCATGGATTTGGCTATTCAAGTTACCAAAAGTCATTGAAAATCAATATATTTGTTCGACTCAAGACCTTAAACTCTGTGTACCAATCTAAAGGCAATCGAAACGATTATATACAGACGTAAAAACGATGTATAAATATAACATCAATCAGATGATAACTGTGGTCTCTAAAACATCCACAAGATTTTTTCCAAGTGATCAAGGGTCATAAATATGTCAGTTATTATCGGAAATCGTTGAAAATCAATAGGATTTTTCGCCCCATGACCTTAAACACTGTGTATAAAGTTAAAGTCAATCCGATATTAACTTTAGCCTCTAGAGCGTCCACAAGATTTATTAAAGTGATCAAGGGCCATGACTCTGGCAGTAATTATCGGAAATCGGTGAAAATCAATAGTCAATCCGATATTAACTTTAGCCTCTAGAGCGTCCACAAGCAATTGTGGACACCGGGCGGACGGACGGGCGGCAGCGACGACAATATACGATCACATTTCAATGTGGGCGTATAAATGAAGAATAATATGCTGATGTTTTTTTTGAAAATGGCCTACCAAAAGTATACACACACACACAATAATTTACACAACGTGCACGGTTATTTACAAGTCATATTTTGAGGGGCATTTTAAAACAAAAATGTTAAGATTTTAAATTAAAAATTTTAATTTGGCATTAAGAACACGATATTATCAGATATAGAAACAGTATAAATTATTATTTAATGAGTTCAAATAATGGTGGATTTGGGTAAATCGTGCTACCGATAATCGCGGCTGTGTGTTGATTGCAATTATTCCGTTTCATGTAAAAGCTTACTCAATTAATCTGGCCCCAAAAAGTACTTCATACAGCTTAACAACATTTGTATGCTAACTATAAACTAATCCCCATTGTAATAAAAGTGAAACCTTAAACCGCGTAAAAAAAATAGCTTGTCTTACACACTATGTTTCCCCTGAATAATAAATTGATATGAATCTAAACTTTTGATATTACCGATTGTATATAATACAATTGACTATAATATTATATATATTATTCCACTGTATATCAAGTTAGCTAACATCCAAGTTTTTTAATTGGGATAAGCTGCGGTTGAGACAAGGCTGCTGTGTGAGCGTATTTTCACGCTTTTGTGGCTATCTTTACAGGTTTTACCACACACTGATCAGGAATGAATTTTCGCTTGGCCGCTACAATCACTGATAAGGATGACATCGATGCGACTTAATGAGCCAGAAATATTAACTTTTTTCCTGCGACAAATTAAATTCTAAAACATTTTTTTTATGTATTGGAAAAATAAATAAAGGCGTTTGACGTATTTGTAGGTAAAAATTATTTCCTATTTAGTGTAAATGGGTATTAAAATGACTAAAAGGCAGCATTTCGCCCGAAGCAGTAACGTCATATGTAAACAATGCACACGCCATTCAGCCAATGATTGACCCCGCGTGCTGTGACGGCACGTGTTAAGGCAGTCATCTTTGACAGAGATTTTACTACTCGCAATTCTCTGTGAAACAGATTGGTTTTACCATTGAGACTGATGCATCACTTACAACATATAGACCTATTATTTTTAGGCGTAATAGCCTTTTAATATATAGAATACCAAAACTTTAATCAAGTGTCTTTTGATCAATTTGCTAAATGTGTTATTGGGGGACCTTCATCTTCAAATTTTAAGGCACGTGTTTGCTGTGTGCCTTTTATGTGGGGGCTGCTTGAGTATCGCGCGTTGAATGCCTGTCCCATCCCATGATCTGATGATAAAGGATAAAGCACACGACCCTAACACTCTCCTCGTATATAGCTGATGTATAACTGACTTTTCCTATTCTTTATAGGTTCTTGACCGTGAAAGTTCATCGGGATTTTCCAACGTGGTTTCCCCTTGTCAATGGTGGAAGACGGAGGGCCTGACAAGTCTAGTTGTTCGGATGGTATAAAAACGAAGTCCCGTGTATACATTGGCATGCACGTAAAAGATACATTGGCAGTTGGAATTTGATATAAGAGTAGGCCATAGTGTCGCAGCCCTTCTTCGGTTCTACACCAAAAAGTCAACAAAAATCGCCACGCAAAAGGGTGAAAAAGAGAAGACTAAAAATAACTTTCGCCCTTCATGTGAGCTGTGTCCAATTAAGTATGAGCAAAGGGAGTTAAATCCTTAATATAGTTGGAGTTGAGGCAGACAACCATTAATTTCTCCCATTGACTTCACTGTTAATTCTGTTTTGTTTTTTTCCCCATCTCCAACTTTTTCCCAAATTTTCACTACAGACAGAGCAACAAATGGTCATGTCATTGCTCCAGATTCTGTATGAAGTTGACCAATAAAATTTTGAGATTCACAAACTTGAAGTAGCATACTAAAAACATGCTACTATCCACTTTACAGATAGATATCCATGACCAACCCCACAACTCTGTTATCCTTCTGTCTCTAAATCATGAATATTTACCCAAACCTGGCAGAAAATATAAATTCAAACCCTTTTCTTCCATTCTAGACCAAAAAATCAACAAATGTGACTGGCCGTATCTAAATGAGTCGGAATGCGGAAGAATCAATAATGAGATAAAGACAAAATAAGTGAAAATATTGGTTTTGAACGAAATTGAGATTTTCACAAAAATGAGTCTATAAATATACTATCTATCGACACTGAAGATCAAAATAGCAATAAAACATTTTAAAACACCTGTATTTGAACGTTTTGTAAGAGTGCCGTATTCTTAAATCTGTCCTATTTCTCAAAATTCTCGGCGAAATTAGTTATTTTTCTTCGCTCGCAGTGGGACGACCGGTAATTCCTCTTGCATAACAACTGGCATCGTTGTAAAGCGGAGCATCTCTAGTTTATAAATATGATCAAAATATTGTCAATGAATTGATTTTGAATGGATACAATCGAGTTTTAAAACCCTCCAAAAATATAAATAAACTCCGCCTGTTGCCATGCTGTCCACACAACTCCTTTGCTGATTGGCCCGGACACCGCGTGCAAGACATTATCGATAAATATTTGGTTTTGGCAATGTTTTTGGGTACCTACATGCGATTCACTCTGATAAGTGGCAGAAAAAAAAATTAATTCTTATCGTATAGATTGCCGTTGAGTGTTAATCGAAACCACGTGGCTGATGATGTAAATTAATCGACAAGCGGGTGTGTGTCATTGAGTAATACTATTACTAATCAACTGGCACGGGTCAATGATAAAGCCGTCGACAACTCATTATTTACTCCGAATAATTAATCCAAGTGGTGATTGTTTGATATCTCATATCATCTTTAAAAAAATAATCTATATCCTTAAATGGAAATAAACAAAATGGCCAATAATGTTCTTTTCGAAGAGTATTTTATTGATAGCTGAATTCCGTTTAACGTCGCTTCTTCATACGGCATGCAAAGTAAGGAATGCATTCGGGATATTATTGATTAAAATTCTCTTATCACAATAAGTCGAAAAAATGAGAACGACCAACGAGCCGAAATGCGACGATTCTCGAGTCTGCCATTGAGTATCCTCTGAATAATGTTGATATTTACATCAAAGCCAAAATGCACAAAAGTGAACGTAAGCATTGACTATGAAATTGACATTTCTATAGGGACTCATATTTTGATAACGTCACGGTACCTGAAAATAATAATAGACCTATCGTACACTCAAAATCTTATTTTAATTCACGTGTTAAATGAACATGCATACAGCTGTTGCGGCTTCTTTGATGATTACCCAATCAACAATCTTAATCTCCTGACCACTAGCTGGCACTAAGGTGCTAATTAATTGATGAGATTAACTGAGTTAATCTCACTAAAGTTATAATATACACAACAGACTACTAATGTATAGATTGTTCTTCAGTATAACACTATCATGTGAATATTATGCCGTAGGTGTTGTGGATGTTTCGTTACGAAAGGAGTGCATTTATTACGATTTTCGTCGTCAGCACCCTTGAAATCCTAAATAAAAAACATATTTTAAAATATAGCAAATCAATTACGGAAATAGTCGGATCAAATTTTTACTGCGATTTTCGTCTTCAGCACCCCTGAAAACCCATGGAAAGATATGTTCAACGACAAAACAGCAGATAAATGGCCTTGTTGCTATGGGATTTTGTTTTGGAACGTAGCAAATCTTTGACTTGCTTTTTCTCAAAACTTACTTTTGTGAGTGGAGTAGCTTCTAATGGACACAGCTCAGTCAATTTTTGCCCAATTCAAACAAACTATACATCAAATTGAAGGTAATGGGTTGGAGAATGTGAAAATAACAATAACTCAATTTTCAAAATTTCCCCATTGTGACTCAGTATGCTGTGGGGGGTCACAAATATGAACATGCAAAAAGTGTGGGGTGGGCGAGGGAGTGTGAGAGATTTGCTAAAAATAGATGAACTACAATTTAATGGTGGTCTGCCTCCAGCTTAACACATTGGTTATGTCCCAAACTTGATTGTTTTTAGGAATTGGTGGATTTTTGTGGAAACATCCTCCCATGAAGCATCTTACAAGTGAATCACTTCTAAAAGCTTTTTCACACAAGAAAATATCACTTGACAGAGCTGAAAGCACTGTATTAATTACACTGTAACTGGAATCTTGTTCACTAAGTTCAGCCAAAACATTAATACCTTGTTCTACAGAGGCTGAACATGCACATGCACTAGAGGAACAAAAAGATTCACATTTCTTAAAATAAGATTTATACTGTGTCTTGGTTCCAATATGCCACGATTGTAACACAGTGGATTTTGCTGTTCCCAAAAGTCCTCTCTTTTTGAGTTGCCTCCCGAGTTATAATTTGGATTGAAGTGGGTGTTTCATTTCGGGTGAATTTGAGAAATATAGAATCTGCTCTTAGCAACACCTGATGTATTAATAATTAAATTAGCAGCGGGAACCAGGCTTGTGTCGTCCATAAAGGTGCAACCGCATTTCCATAGCCATTTCCTCTTACAACTTTTTTAACACATTTGGTATAACACTGAAGGGGGGGGGGGGCATATATTTTATCTGTCCATTTAACAGTGAAATAGTCAACAGAAATGGCTTGAGGATCTGGATTCTCCGAAATGTATGGAACAATTGATGATTTAATCTACTGGCAAAAATGTCAATGTTTGGCTCAAAATTAAATAGGTATTGACTATTGGCCTATGTTAAGCTAAAACTGAGTTTTGATAAACTAAGTGATAGTTGGCAAAACTTTGGCTTACTATTATGACAGCAGTGGAACACAAAGCTGGTTATATCTCAACAATTGCTTTATCAACATACATAAAAATTTTAATGATGACATGATGACAGACTGTAGTGTCGTCCCGCAGAAGAGATTAACAAATGCAATCCATTGAAATCGACAATTTTATTCTTGTCCAAAATCAAAGAGGTATAGCAATTTTAAACAAGCCAACAGTGAGGCTGATGTCCCTGCCCAAATCCCAAAATAAACAGATGACACATATTAATTAATCGCACATTTATTTTTTTCAAAAGTATCGAGCAATCAAACTATACACTAAGTTTCATCACTCTCTATCAAATAGAATCAAGATTATCTTGTCCCAAAGCATCGATCAATGAAATTGATTAGCACTGCTTAGCTTCAGCTCGATATGTTAATCATTGAACTCAGTCAAGACATTCACCTAATGAACATCTACATCAAGTTTAAACATTCTACCTCAATTAAAAGCAGAGTTGTTATGTTCCAAAGTCTTGACCAATCAAATTGTTTATCGCTCCTTAGCCTAAGCAGAAAATTCTCACCATCGAACTTAGTCAAGGTAATGATATAATGAAAATATACACCAAGTTTCATCACTCTCACTTAATTAGAACTAAAGTTATCGTGGCCCAAAGCATCAACCAATCAAATTGCTTATCTCTGCTTACCCTAAGCAGAAAATTCTCATCTTCGAACTCCATCAAGGAAGTCACCTAATAGACACCTACGCCAAGTGTGAACATTCTAACTCAATTAAAATGAGAGTAATTGTGTTCCAAAGTATCGACCAATCAAATTGCTTACCCTGAGCAGAAAACGCTCATTATCAAACTTAGTCAAGGTATTGATGTAATGAAACTATACACCAAGTTTCATCACTCTCACTTAATTAGAACTAAAGTTATCGTGTCCCAAAGCATCAACCAATCAAATTGCTTATCTCTGCTTACCCTAAGCAGAAAATGCTGATCTTTGAACTCCATCAAGACCTAATAAACACCTTCACCAAGTTTGAACATTCTAGCTCAATTAGAGAGTTATTGTGTCCTAAAAAGTGTGACGGAAAGACAGACGAACAAACCCATTTTAATAGTCCCCTACTTTCTTTGAAAGGCGGGGGACAATTAAAAATCACTGGTGGGATATTTTGTGCATACATGTTGAGTGGTGCATGGACAAATTGTCTTCACATTTTAGAAGTTAAATCACAATCGGTCTATAAATACTTTTCAAAGAATTTTAATCATTATAGTTATTAAGAGATTGTTATAATCATATATACTTGGGTGTATTTTTCAAGGATTTCATGTTTTATTCATCATTTAAATTTTCCATGATTTTTGTATCGACATAATTTGATTTTTACAATAACGATTTGTTTGTAAAACTTCATCAAAAGTTAATTGACTTTGCTACCGGTAGGCAAAGTACCGGTAATCTGTATTTTGAGTGAATTTACAAATAAGCTTGCAATATGGGCTTAACAAATCTCTGGGCAAGTGTTCTTTCTGTTCACTTTTACATCCATTATTGATCCATGTTTTCTTTCTGTTCACTTTTTCATCCATTGTTGATCCATCTTTTCTTTCCGTTCACTTTTTCATCCATTGTTGATCAACCCTCTCCAGCGTTTCAAAATATTTTCGAGCATTTTTAATATTTAACAGAGTTGCAGCTGATGCTGGAATATGATATGGAAAGAAAAAATAAATAATTCATACATGTTTTAATTATTTGATCACTTTTGATAACTACTGGCAAATAAGAAATAATGCTGCAGAAAAAGGAATCTCCATAAGATAAAATAAAGATACTGTAAATTGTGCTAATCCATACAATTTTTACATATCCTACTGGTTTATTTATTTACATGACCGAGTTATTTATTTGATGTCAGAAACAGCCTGTTATAATGTTAATTATAGGAGAAACAATCTGAACTTTGGTGTGTGCAATGGTAACACTATATTTTATTAAATCAAACAGATTAATTCTGTTGGTAAGACTCTTAGTCTTAGAAATCCTTATTCTAGTTTGGTTCAACTATCGGAAACTCTGTGGTACTTTTTTAGACGCCCACATGGAAATGTTGTTGTATATTGCCATCGCCTCCGCCTGTTCGTCGTCCACACTTTCTTGTGTACACTCTACAGGCCACATTTATAATCTGATTGTTTTGAAATTGATATATATGTTGTTTACATTAGTGAGATCAAGAAGCCTATTTAATTTGAGTGATTTCAATTAATTTCTTCTGGAGTTATGGCTCCTGTTTCACTTTATTGCACCTTGTGAACGCTTTAACGACAAGAATTATATCTGTATGAAATTTATATGCATCCTTTAAATTAGTGAAATTGCACCTAGTGAACGCTTTAACGACAAGAATTATATCTGTATGAAATTTATATGCATCCTTTAAATTAGTGAAATGATTAAGTCTAGAGTTATGGCCCTTTTTTTCACTTTGTTCAACACTGTGAAAGCTCTAACGAGATAAGTTATCATCCGATCTGTATGAAATTTATATGCACCATTTGAGTTAGTGAAACAAAGAAGTCTATTGAATTTTAGCAATTTCTGTTCACTCCAGAAGAAATTAACGGAAAATATTGAAATTAAATAGGCCTCTTCATCTCACTAATGGAAACAACATATCAATATCAAAACAATCAGATGATAACTGTAGTCTGTAGAGTGTTTACAAGAAATTGTGGACGACAGACGGATGCGACCATATTTCCATGTGGGCGTATAAAAATCAAATTTTACTTTTAAAAAGAAATGGATGAAAGAATCAGTTACATTTCTTGTACATTTTCAGATTTGAGTGTCATTGTAAAATATGCACAAAGCAATAACTTACGTATAGTTTTGTCAGACATAATGACCATCACAAATGTGTTGGATGTGAAGACATCAACAAAAGCAGTAAACGCAGAGTTTCGAACCTCCATTGATTGGAAAGCTGCAGCTAATTTACTACAGCTGAGTTTAAACTGTTTTATAATATTACTGATCTTCTCAAACCGGTGGATATCTTGATGGGGTCGTCGTTCACAGTGTGATATCACCTGTAAAATTATCATTACTTTATACATGTACTTAAAGATGCATTAATTTTTAAATTTTTTACATGCCCATTTTTCTACCGAACTGTAGTATCGTGATCATCTTGTGAGATCTTCATTATTTCAATCCTGCTGTGCACTATGAGGAAAATTTTTCCATCTACATTATTTATGTGCATGCCAACGAGTACACCTGAATTCAGTTTTTCGTACCGTCCGTAAACTATGGGGATGCTCGATTGTCAGTAAGGAACATTCCGAATTGACAGAATTACAATTATGTATAGAGAATTCAGTTCTGTCACAATTCAGTCCCCTCAACAGAGATGGTGTGCATGAGTAGAATCATGACATATTTAAACACAACAAATATGTTTCAGCTGACATGGTTGGTTGACATATTTTCTTATGCAGTTGGCGCATGTGTTGTAGCCCCAAATTCCCATTTTCACTCGATTGTCACTATTTTTGGGTTTGACAGAATTCAATTCCGGAATGTTCAATCAAGCATTCCCCATAACACAGTTCCTTGCCAGGTCCTCCATACTGCATCACTGACAAGAGGGAACCACACTGGAAAATCCTGAGGAATTTCTCAACCAACATGGGGATCGAAGCCGTAACCACAAGTTTGCTTAGTCAGCACCTTACTAACTGAGCCACCGTTGACCAACCAATCTATCGTGATCCATTTTAATAGTATAGTCCCCCTCCTTTCTGTTGACTGCACAGAAATGTTTCTCTTTAAATTAAATGAATTAAATAAAGAGTTATATGTCCCAGTAAGTGTGATGGACAAATCCATTTAAATAGTCCCTTGCTTTCTTCAAAAATTTGACTCACCAGAAATGTAGCTCTTTCAAATAATAAAACTTCATCTGCATCAATAGTATTACCAAATGATGCCAGATTTGATTCTAATTTTTGTACGTTGGGTATTAACTGATATACTATTGATGACCAAGCCTATAAAAGTAAATATTTTCAAATCAGTGTAGATATACATGTGGTTGACTAATCTGTTTCACAGAGAATTACGAGTCTAATATCTCTGTAACACGTGCCGTCGCAGCACGCGGCGTCAATCATTGGCTGAATGACGGGTGCATTGTTTACATAAGACGTTACTGCTTCAGGCAGAATGCTGCCTTTAAGTCCTTTTAATACCCATTTACACTAAATAGGAAATAATTTTTACCTACAGATACGTCTTTATTTATTTTTCTAATACATCAAAAAAATCTTTTAGAATTTAATTTGTCGGTGAAAAAAAGTTAATATTTGATGTCATCCTAATCAGTGATTGTAGCTGCCTAGTGAATATTCACTGCTGATCAGTGTGGTGGTTGACATGCAAGATACAGATACATTTTATAGGGAAAATCAATAGGGCTCATCCTTATCCCAATGCTTCATATAAAATTTGAAAATGAAATCAAATGAAATGGGGTTAACTCTGTTGTTCTGCTCTGACTGGGCTAATGAAGACAGAGACATGGGAAGGCTCCAATTTTAAGTAGATTAGAATACCACAGCCGTTTAAGAGTTTAACTATAAAATATATAAATGAGACATAGTAACTTTGCACAGAATAAAGGAAGGACACACAAAAAAAATACTCTGGTTCTCAGATACCGCCGGGTCATCAAAAATGGATCGTGTCATACATTTTCTTTTATTATAAAAACAAGAGAGAGAGAAATGGGGTTTAATGTCCATGATACAAACTAGGTCATTTTGGGACTAACATATGGTTCAATTTTATTTCAATAATTCGCTTGCGCATAGGGGTCTTTAGCAGTGGGAGGAAACAGAAGGACAAGGAGAAAACCCACGAGGTCGGACAGTCGACCCTACTCCTTGTCACGTACAACCGGGGAACCGAAACCATGCCAGTTAACTCAATGATATAGTGTGCACACGCTAACCATTCGGCCTTCCAACCCCCAGTATAAAAACAAAGTTATCCATTTTCGCATGTTTGTATTTCCCATGATCAAGGGAAGTAACTCTATTAAGCGTTTCTTGAAAAGAGGAACTGAACACTAGCTAGACTCGGCTATCAAGTACGTAACCATGGGAAACAATATTGACAATGGATAATAGATTGTTAATTTGTTATTCCACAATGATGGTGACATTTTGTTGTGAATCTTGTCAATTTTTACCATCAAAATGCCCAAGCATCTTTCCCAAGAACTATAACTGATAACTTTGAGAGTGATGACTGAAAGTATTCTCCGTGGTGAGATTGCATGCGAGGACGCAGACTTCGATTTTGTGCGGCCTAATTTGACTGAAATTTTCAATATAATCATTTTTCATTATCTATTATATCATAAACAGCCAGTTCCTTATCTAAATCTTACATCTTTAACAATGAGTCAATTTATGATTTCCTTTTTTCCTTTATATCTGGGTTGGATACTTGATAAATAACGTTATACTTCTGGTTTCAACAAGAATTGTTTAATGGAGTTCTACCCCTTGACTCAGAAAATATTAACAAGTAATAACCAATGAATGAAACTGTTTTTGTGGACATTTCCAAGTGATGCTGTTGTATCTGACAACCAGTATATATTTTTTTGATATGGTATGGCTTTATTATTATTATTGTAATAAAAGTCAGTGATTACCTTATATAGTGTTTCATCCCAAATAGATGTAGCAAAACAGGTACAGTCTAATGGTTTTGATAATCTCTTTAAATCCTCTTCCCTCTCTTTAAATATCTAGAAAACAAAAATATAACAAAACAGTTTAAAACAGAATTTGCACATTAAAATATCTCAAATATTAGACAAGTACAATATATCCATCAAGTCAGATTTAGGTGACCCAATTCTAGGTACAACAGTAAATATTTAGATTTTATATGGAAATGCTTACAGCTCATTTTGTGTTTTACTTAACCATTTGAAACACTCAAAGCAATGTTTCAACTCACCCTATCTCTCTGATCATCTTGAACCAAATCCATTTTATGAATCAAAGCAAAAACCTTAGCATCTGGTGAATTTTCTAAAATGGCTTCTAGACATGATTGATAATAATGGATGTCTTTTTCTAATTCTCGACTTTCAACATCAAACACATAAATAAGTACTTCGACATTACGGAAAATATTATCTCTCTGACTTGCAAAATAATTCTCCATAAAAGCTTCTTGTCTGGAACAGAAATTATATTCACTCACGATAACGTCCATTGAATACTAACTAGGACGATTTGGGACTAACACATATCACCCACCGAAACAAGCCAATAGCGAGGCTGATGTCAATCCCAAAATAAACAGATGACACATACTAATTAATTGCACATTTATCTTTTTGAAAAGTATCAAGTAATCAAACTGATTATCTATATTTAGTCTAAGCAGAAAATGTTCACGATCGAACTCAGTAAAGGTTTGAATACCTAGTAATGAAAGTATAGTTTAATCACTCTCCATCAGTTAGAATCACAGTTACCTTGTCCCAAAGCATCGATCAATAAAGCTGTTGAGCTTATGAACATCTACACCGAGTTTAAACATTCTACCTCAATTAAAAGCTGAGCGGTTATGTTCTAAAGTCTTGACCAATCAAATTGCTTATCACTACTTGGCCTACGCAGAAAATTCACATCATCAAACTAAGTCAAGGTATTGATATCATGAAGCTATACTATATGCATCATCACTCTCACCCAATTAGAACCAAAGTTCTAGTGTTCCAAAGTCTCAACCAATCACATTGCTTATCTCTGATTGCTTAGTCTTAGTGGAAAATGTGCATGATCGAACAGTGTCCAGGCATTCACCTAATAAACACCTACACCAAGTTTGAACTTTCTACCTCAATTAGAAGGGGAGTTATTGTGTTCCAAAGTCTCGACCAATCAGATTGAAGTCTCTACTTAGCCCAAGAAGAAAATGTTCATCATCAAACTTAGTCAAGGTATTGATGTAATGAAACTGTACACAAAGTTTCACCACTCTCACTCAATTAGAATCAAAGTTATCCAGCTGCAAAGTCTCGATCAATTAAATTGTTATCCAGAGCAGAAAATTCTCATTATTGATCAAACTTAGTCAAGGTATTGATATAATAATACTGCACACCAAGTTTCATCACTCTCACTTAAAGGAGGCAAGTCTTTAACTCAATATAATCCACAGTCTTCGACACTGCAAAAAAGACTCATCAGCACATGAATCGCATGCCAGAATGTTTATTAGAGTGCTATTTAAATGAAGCGGCTCAACATACCCAACAGGAGAATACTACCGGTGTAGAGTGGATTAACCAGACTCTTTGCATAGTTCGCCGAACATAACTGATTAGAAATTACAGTAAAAACGGAAACAATTGAATGTAAATCAGTTTATATACTTTCATAATACATTATTATATGTGTTACGATCCATTTGTGTCCATTTATAGGTGCCAAATATTAGGGATTTAGCTCCTTTAATTAGAACCAAAGTTGTCGCGTCCTAAAGCATAAACCAATCAAATTGCTTATCTCTGCTTAGCCTAAGCAGAAAATGCTCATCTTCCAACTCCATCAAGGTATTCACTTAATAAACACTCACACTAAGTTTGAACATTCTAGCTCATTTAGAAGAATTAGTGTGTCCCAAAAAGTGTGATAGACAGACAGACCTATTTTAATAATCCCCAGCTTTCTTCAAAAGGTGGGGTACAAAAAGGACGAAGCAAACCCATGACTTGCAAATACATGTATAGAAAACTAAAGACAGGTTGCCAAGCAATGAAACATGTACCCACAGCATCTAAATCATCCGAGCAGTTGCATATTTTTTTTGGGGGGAGGGGGCGCGGTAATGGGAGCATATACAAGACACTGATATCAATTTAAGGTTCGTAGTTATACAATAAACTACCAATTGATGGTTGTATTTTCAACTCTATTGATAGAAAATGCTTGAGAATGCCAAATGATTAGGCCACCTATGACGAAAGATGGCAAAACCACATGAATCATTCTGATATTATAGTTTTACAAGTGCCTATAAATTTAGGACTTATATCGTTATCAACATTTACCAAATAATCTCGATCATACTTTAGTAATTAATACATGGTGTGTATATTTTAACTCTGTAGGAAGTATGGCCCATTTATTCCTTCAATAAACCTTGTGTTCCTATTTGATTCCCGAGATGAAACAGTAGAGTAATGGTGGTACGTACCCTACATTTCAAGTCTAACAACGAGATGTATCTACATCAATTATCATAAAATTCGGGCATTTAAATGGGTAACATTTCTATATCTGTCACTATCGGTAAAACCAATAGTAACCATATGAGCTTTCACTATGATCACCAAATACAAGATAACACTCTCTCGCATTAACTGATTTTGTCTACTTAAACATGCATTACACAAGAGCTAAATCTGCCTATTGCAGATCTTTCTGTAGGCCTGAAATGTTATATAAACTATAAATTAGACATTCATCAACAAAACAAGATCATAATCAACTCTCGATGCCATCGCTAGCCTGTGCTATTTATTGGAATGGAATACATTTTTTGAAAAATAGTTAAACATAAATATGGATAATCGAGACTTTGCTTTTTATTGTACCGGCTTTATTAAGGATGACCGAGACTAGCCTAAAATTCAAAAGCTAATATCTTGGTTCTGAGTGGAGCAATCTGACTGAAATTTTCAACATATTCTATTTACGTTATCTTTTTTTTTAACTATTATATCGAGAACTGTCAACTCGTTATCTAATCTCCCATAATGCCCCTTTAAACCAAATACATCCAACTGATAAGGAATTGGAAGCTGAAATCTGGTTTTGGTAAACTACCCAGTCAATTATCTACATACCCTCCACAATCCCAAAGATTTAACACCAGGTTACCAAGGAAACGAACATGAGAATGTTCAACATCAACTGAAAGAGACAAACAATCAATAATGCATTGGAATAACATCTTAATGAGTCGATTTGAGCTGGAAACTGGCATACATACAAAAATCTGAAATAATTAAAATTTGATTGGCTTTTAGTTCTTCAAGATGCTAATATTTAACATAAAAAAACATGTCACGATAGCAATGGTAAATCTAGTTGTACGAGTTCATAACAATGTGTATACATGTAAAGTCAATCAGATGGTAACTTTAGGGGCCACATGAACTAAAATTTTACATCAGGCAGGCCAGAGATATACAAAAATTCTAAAAACAAAGCTAAACGTCCTTGAACTTTACTGAATTCTAATAACCAAGCTAAACGTCCTTGACACAAGTAATTTTTTAGACTGGTTCCTAAACTGCCAAGATATAATATTGAACAAAACGTTTTCTTGTATTACATGTACATATACAACTTTGATATCTATGACATAGAGTACAGAAGTCAGAGTTTTACTGAAACCGGAAAACAATAATAAATGATTTCTACCGCTAGTTACCTAAGAATTATCGACACGAAAGTTGGTTGAAATTTGTTCCACGGGCCACATTTAAACCATTGGCGGGCCGGATGTGGACCACGGGCCGCATTTTTGACACCCCTGCTCTAGAGCATCCACAAGATATTTCAAATTGATCAAGGGCAACAACTCTGGCAGTCATTAATGGACATCATAGACAATCAATAGACTTCCTCATGTCATGACCATAAACACTGTGTATTCAAAGTCAATTATGTGACTAGAGCATCCACGATTTAGTTCTAGAGCGTCCACAAGAGTTTTCAACGTGATCAGAAAGAATCTGTCAAAATTTGTAGACACTATCACGTGACAGACGAACAAATGGAGAGGGTGACATCATCAGATGCCCACATATCCAAATTATGCTAATTAAAGGGCCATAATTCCAGAACAAAAATCCTAAAGTTTAAAAAGGAGAAGTCAATAATTGTTGCATCTATCAAACAGTATAGCAAGCAAAATAACACTAATTAAAGGGCCATAATTCCAGAACCAAAATAGCGATTGTGTTCAAATTCAATTTCAAAAGTTGTCTACACATAAGAAACATTATCCAAAGGTTTGAAAAAGATTTGTCAAAAGTTGTGGCCTCTAAAAAGCGGACAAGCAAAATTTTGCTAATTAAAGGGCCATAACTCTGGAACAAAAATAGCAATTGCGCTTAAATCCAATGCCATTTGTCGTCTACCCAATCATTAAAAGATTCATCAAAAATTGTAGCCTCTAGCGAGTGGACAAGCAAGTGTGGATGGATCGATGAACACTGCAGTTGCATTTTAAGTGTTTAAAAAATATGTGGAATTAAACTATCTAGACAACTTACTTGTGGCGCCTAATCTTCTAGTATCTCTGGCAATATAATTAGCAAATATAATAGATCTCATACTAGTCTTACCAGATCCACTTTTACCCATCAATAACACCTGAAATAAATAGAAAAAGTCAATATATTATAAACAAACTTTTAAATTTTAATCCGATTAACATGTAAATATTTATGTTTTTTTTTAAACTTTTTATTTTTACAGTCAATCATAATATCTCTTTAAAGCCCCAACATGTCAGAATGATGGAAGTATGAAGTTTAAAGAGCACATAAAATAACCAAACAAAGTTACATGCACTTAGAGCTAGTGTTTACTATATACTCTACTAGCTGCTGTCCCGGCGTTGCATGGATTGCAAGTAGACTACTGGCAGCAGTAGGACAACGCCTTCTAGCCTATGTTACAAACTGGTGCGAGCTACCCCTATACACCAAATTTCAGTCTTGGTACAGCTCTAGTGTAGCCGCCTACCCTGAACAGACAGACAAACAGACAAAGGACAGTCAGAAATTTTAGTATATATATATAAGAATTTCACATGATATATCATATTGTGTGTCAGAGCTCTAAAACACTTTCGATCTTTAATCCAGTTGATTAGCGTGTGACTACACATACGATTTACACTTAATGTTTACTATAGGTTCAGTGATTGAACTAATCCTAACCTAAGCTACAAATAAGCAAATATTATATAAAGCAGACCCCAATGTCTCCATCATGTTCAGAAAAGGGGACATAACTCTAGTACGAAGAGTCGCAGAGCACTGAATATCAATTGGTTTTCGTCCTCTCATGAAAATAATGCTTCACACCAAATTGAAAAGAATCTATTGAAAACTGTAGACAATTGTTGAGTGACAAACTGACCAACAAGACAATCAGGGTGACAGTATAATAATGTCCGAACTGAAATGTCTTTTAAGATATCCAAATACAATATTAAAAGATAGGTTGCCAGGCAATATAACGTATGCCCACAGCAGCTAAATCATTTGTGTAGTGAAAAAGGTTTGTCGATTTATTCTTTTGTAGGTACTTGGAGCATTTACAAGACACTGATATCAATTTCATACAGATTGGGTGGGTGCAATAATAACTTTTGTCGTTCGGGCGTTCATAATGTTGTACAAAGTTGAAAAAGGGCCATAACTCTACAAGTAATATCAGAAATTGCTGAATTTCAATAGGCTTCTTCTGTTCATTAACTTTCAGACAATAATTTTTGTTCACAAGGTTCAACAAAGTAAAAAAGGGTCATAACTCTACAAGTTACTAATAGAAACTGCTGAAATTAAAATAGGTTTCTTTGATAACTTATGCCTTAGAGCATTGACAAAGACCATAATTATTTGACAGAAATTTTCTATCAATGTGATCAACTCTTAGAACAATTATTTCTTGTTTACTTTTATCTAAATCTACTAAACGAATTTCATACAAATAAGCCATGTCAGCAAAGTACAATCTTACAGAAGTTACAAGTAGACCTCAAGCTTTTCCTGGGTGTTAAGTGCACATGTGCAACATATTTGAGCTGTTCCACATCTGAGGGCAGCTAAAAATAGTTCTTTCGTATAAATATGTAGTGAGGAATATTAAACTATTGATATTTTAAGAATGCTTGTATCTATTTTGAAAGAAATGTTTAGCTCTGAAAATGATTGAAAATAAGTATTACTCCTGCAAAACAAACAGACATATTTCTAATGCTGGAAAGCCGCCAACTTGTGCATAATCCTTCAACCCCTATGCGATATGCAAGCGTCCCATTTTACACAGGCGAAGTGGTGATGTTGATGTTTTTAGAAAGCTGACTATGTCAGATAAGTGAAAAATTACAAGAGAAAGCAATAGGATGACAATTCCAGGTATTGTCACTAAGGCAAGGTTTAGTAGTTTAGCCATTTTAATTATTATAAACTGAAGAAATGGCAATCAGTTTTCTGGAACTGACAGTGACAGCAGCTTCTTTTACACCTCAACGTTTCTGTTTAGATTGTTTAACTGAAATTTCAGTAATAGGACACATCAAATAAAACAAAACTTTATGGAATAAATTCTGAATTGAATACTATTACTCGATCTATAGGATTACTGATAGGTGCAACGTTTCGTTTGATTTTCAACAATGATCAATCACATGATAAACAATCATCAATATTCTGTTCAAACCTTTTCTTTACCTGTCATTCTTGATAATCACACGAGAAATTATTTTCTTTATTGACATATAGGGAGTTCTATGATATGATCATAGTTATATTAATCATAAGCTGTATAAAGTCATACCTTTTTCTTCATTTTAGCAGGCTGTGTTTACTGTTTTAGTGTTTACGCCTAATTTGCGGAAATGAAAAACTAGTTGACTTCACGTGACCAAAGTTTCCCTTTGGCCAGGATTAACCAGACACTAATAAATACGTCAATTTAGGAGTTATTTCCCGTGATACTCAATACTAGACACCTAAACCACAGAGTAAAAATTTACTCTGTGCCTGTACCCATTGATCTATAAAGTATAAAGATGAGTGCTATAATTAACCATTAACGTCATTTTTTAAAAAATAGAGCCGGTCTTTCTTTAGGCCTTAAATATTATATAAACTACCGGGTATTAGGCCAAATTAGAGTTAGTAGACATTTAATATTAAAGATACCATCCCGCATACAAACTGAAACTGGGTGATTTGATGATATATTTTGGACTAAAAACATATTCATACTAATTAATCTATCAAAATTTTGCTTCAAATACTTTTCAAAACATAGTATTTGCGAGGAAATACTTGAAGCTATAAAAAAATCTATCAAAAGAAGTCATGTTTGGATCATATGATTTGGCTGCATGACGCGGTAGCCTACATCTAGTAGTATATAGCAAGGGTGCGTGTTAAAGCCGAAGGAGAATTCATTAAGTATTCAAAACAATGTTGTCTTTAATTGCTGTCCATTCATTTATCATAAATAACGAAGCTTATAATTAAATTCTCGAATTATCCAATGGCCACACCTTTTCCGTGGTTTTTATCCCAGATAACTGTTGTACATTTAAGTCTTTCACTTTTTCCTAGTCTGCTCACCATGAAGTTTAGCAACATATTATACATAAAGCTTTCCCTAAAGTAACGCTGAGAGGTAGTACTGTCCACCCCCTCCCCCATTATTTCAACTTATAAGACAATAATTTATATCGATATTTGATAATATGTCGTTCTTTATGCCAAATTGTCATTTTTAATTTACTGGAGGGATTCACTAGTCCGCGGTTGCACTAGTCCGCTGCTATAAAATATACTATAATGGGTATAAACAAGCCAACAGTGAGGCTGATGTCCCCCGCCGAAATAGGAAAATAATTAGAGGACACATATAAATTTATCACAAATTATCTTTTACAAAGTATTGAACAATCAAACAGTATATCTTTACTTATAGTCTAAGCATACAATGTTTTTGATGGAATAATTATAGCATATTAAGGGGAAAACATGCTCTATGCCTACAGATCTAGAGTTTAATTGTATCAACGGGTCTATTTTCCATCTTGCTGCAAGTTGTGCAAAGTTCACTGTTTTCTTTCTGTCATTAAATGTCAATTCATTATTGCATACTACATATTTAATTAATTTATAATAGTTTCTTTTTCAATTTGTTTTTTCCATTAATTTGTTTATTTACCTTGCCTATATTCATTGTATTGGATTGTATTGGAATTGCTCAATTGATGCTTTTATCAATACCTGGTTATAATATTATGACATGTAATGTGGCAAGTTGAGTCGGGACATGTAGGCTATAATGTAACCTAAATGTATACATAAGTGGATTTCGTTTCATTTTTTTCGAAAATATTGTACAGATAAAAGAGGAGGAATTACAGGGGTAATACATTGGAAAGCTTCTTCAAGAACTAAAGCATAAACTATATAAACGAGCTTATAAAAAGGAAAAGTTTGTATAAAGACGTTTCGTTTGCACAACTGGGTGATGATAAATCACGTTTTGTCTTTCTAGCAGACGACACTGTTTTACGGCGAAAGCACGCGCTCTATTTGTGACGCTTAATTTATTTTATTATTCACTCGACGTCATCACTTAGTAGACTTACTATTTTTAATATGTTGTCTTCGGTATAAAGCTGTTTATGCACAAAACCAAATACTATGACATAGAATATTTTGTTTCATGGTTTATCGGCATTCTATTTGTCACTCATTCTATCGCTATTTATAGAATAGGCTACCTTGGTTACGCAACTACGGTACCAAATGTATCTATTAATAAACTGCTCCCACTCCCAGGCTACAATTTGTACATGCTGTGTCTGCTAACAGGTATTTCCTAGATATCAACGGTCAAATTTCCCCGAATATTATTTTACATTTCTGTGATATGTGAAAAGGTTTGTTAAAATTAAATATTGAATACGATTTTATTGGAATGTACGATTTATGGGGAAGAAAAGATTTTACAACAGTACGTGGAACGATATCGTAACCGAACAAAGCACGTGGTTTATTTAATGAGCCATTGATTGGCATTGTAATTGAATAGCGGTAAACGTGCGATATAAGCAAACTGACATGAACTCGCGATTTGTATTTTTCACAGATTATAATTTTTAAGAAGTAAACGAGAAAATATTTGTTACATTAAAGGTCTGTTGTAATATGCGAAGTCCGTGATTTTTCACAATCACAAACAATTACCCCTCCGATAATAATTGAAATTGTCGTGTCTAGACGAGTAGTTCAGTATTATTCAAAAATAAAGAAAACGAAATTCTTGGTGTAAATCATGTTGACCAAGTGTTGAAAAACTGATGCATATTTCTTTTTTTATTCAGGTAAAAAAAAAGTATGGCAAGCAACACGGACGAACCCATTTTAATAGTTCCCTGCTTTCTTCGAAAGGCGGGGGACAATAAGCATGAACATTTACTCAATTCGAAGATCAACCAATCAAATTGTTTATCTCTGCTTACCATAAGCGGAACGGACAGACAGACAAACAGACAGACGGACGAACCCATTTTAATAGTTCCCTGCTTTCTTCGAAAGGCGGGGGACAATCAAAGTAGGAGAGTTATTGTTTTCCAAAGTCTCGACCAATCAAATTGCGTATCGCTCTGCTTACCCTGAGCAGAAAATGCTCATTATCAAATTTAGTCAAGGTATTACTGTAATGAAACTATACACCAAGTTTCATCAATCTCACTTAATTAGAACTAAAGTTATCGTGTCCCAAAGCATCAACTAATCAAATTGCTTATCTCTGCTTACCCTAAGCGGAAAATGCTCATCTTCGAACTCCATCAAGGCATTGACCTAATCAACACATACACCAAGTTTGAACATTCTAGCTCAATTAGGAAGAGAGTTATCGTGCCCCAAAGTATCAACCAATCAAATTGCTTATCTCTGCTTACCCTAAGCGGAAAATGCTCATCTTCGAACTCCATCAAGGCATTGACCTAATAAACACATACACCAAGTTGGAACATTCTAGCTCAATTAAAAGTTATCGTGTCCCAAAGCATCAACCAATCAAATTGCTTATCTCTGCTTACCCTAAGCGGAAAATGCTCATCTTCGAACTCCATCAAGGCATTGACCTAATCAACACATACACCAAGTATGAACATTCTAGCCCAATTAGGAAGAGAGTTATCGTGTCCCAAAGCATCAACCAATCAAATTGCTTATCTCTGCTTACCCTAAGCGGAAAATGCTCATCTTCTAACTCCATCAAGGCATTGACCTAATAAACACAGTTTGAACATTCTAGCTCAATTAGGAAGAGAGTTATTGTGTCCCAAAAAGTGTGACGGACAGACAGACGGACGGACGGACAGACAGACGGACGAACCCATTTTAATAGTCCCCTGCTTTCTTCGAAAGGCGGGGGACAAAAAAAACAGCAGGTATGGTGGTGATTGGTATCATAAGGCAACAAGCCGACATCACGACATGTTAACACAACAGCCTGACATCACAGCATTTTAACACGACAATATGACATTAAAAATGTAATGTCGCGTACAAAATGTTGTGATGTAGCGACCATCTTCCTCTGAATATATACAGTTTGATTATGTACACTGATCCTGGTGTTGGTCAAGTGGGCCTAAGTTCCCTGGGATTTTGCAGTGTGGTTTTGCGACGCAGGGCCTGGCAAAGAACAGAGTCTAGTTGTGTAGATGGGACAAAAACATTAAGCCCCTGTGTACACATTGGCGTGCACATAAAAGAACCCTTCACAGTTGGAATTCGATGGGAGAAATATGCCACTGTCCCTAGAAAATTTCTGTCATAACCCTTTGCATAGCGTACGTATGCTTATCTTCAATAGTCCGGTTGGTGCAAAAAAGTAGGAAAATTAAATGAAATGTGGTTTAACCTACGTACTGTTCTGCCCCGAGTGGGCTAATGAAGACGGGCTTGCGCTATACAGTACATGTACTATGAGGGGAAACTTTGGCCGGATAGCGGCGCTACCGGCCTACTATAGTATATTGAATTCAATCAATTTTGGGCTTGGAAAAATGGTTACATACCATTGTCAGTGTGGGTGCGTTGAGTACACACCATTGTCAGGGTTGGTACATTACATTGCATTGTCAGGGTTGGTGTAGCACATTTCATTGTCGGTCGGGGTTGGTGCTTTACATTTCATTGTCAGTGGGTGCGTTAGTATTATTGTCAGGGTTCGTTACGGGTGTGCATTTACATTTGATCATCAATTATCAGTCGTAAAAATGGCAATAATAGATATCGGCGGACTAGTGCACCCGCGGGCCAGTGAGCATTCCCTTAATTTACAGTCGTAACGATTTGGTGTCAAAATGACAATTTGACAAAAAGAACAGAGTGTATTATCATGTACAGATATATTAAATTGATATTATTTGAGTTGAAATAACGGAGGATTTGGGGATATTGTGCTACCGGTGGCATGGCTGCAGACAGCCACAGTTTACAATTAAACGTACAGATTATGATAACATCAAAAATATCTCAAAGTAGGCACAATTTCAGCCACCTCCGGTCAGCGGTTTCGGTAGTTTTAGGCTAACATATATTCATTGCGGCAGGACCGCTGCCATTTTCACTAGCCAAGGGTTACAATTAGCTAGCGAAGATGGGCCGCCGCAGACCACAATAATTACTAACCAATTCCCATGAAACTTTCAGATTAATACTATCTCAGATATAGGCAAAGTATCGGAGATATTTCATGTGGCACACATTAAAACCACAATTACCAACTTATTTCCATAAAATTAACTGATTAGACTATGATGATATTATTGATAACATTAATAATATCTCAAGAGTATGCAAAATTTAAGCCACTTCTGGTCAGTGGTTTTGAGATATCAGATTACCACATATTTCATGTGCATGACTGCAATAATCAACCGGTTTCAATGAAACTTACAGATTATAACATTAATAATATCTCAAGAGTAGGCACAACTTCAGCCACCTAGTGGTTTAGGAGGTATCAGTTTACCACATATTTCATGTAGCACGACTGCAGTCAGCAATTATCAACTGAGATATCAGGTTACATTATTTCATTTGAATTTACCACAGCTGCAAACCATAATTATCAACTGATTTCCATGAAATTTACTGATTATGATAACATTAATAATATCTCAGAGTAGGCAAAATTTGAATCACTTCCAGTCAGTGGTTTTGAAGATATCAGGTTACCACATATTTCATGTGGCACAACAATTACTAGTTTATTTTGGTGACATTTCTCTATAACTAGCTGTTATATTAATTCCAGCTATGGAATATATTAATCTAAGTTAGTTTATCTATATGAACTCCAAGGCATACTGTCAAAGCAGTGTTTCATGTAACTAGGGCTGGATTAAACTTGTGGGGCCAGCGACAAGTCAATGGGTGGGGATCTCTGAAAAAAAGTGTAGGGCCTTGCAAAGTGTTGAAAATCCTATGGTCTGTGGTTTTTTTTAGCTATGGTGATGAGCATAATTATCTAAACTGATATTGATTGCTGCCATTGCTTTGGGAAGAGTGGGTTGATGAACACTTCCATTCCCATTTATACCAGATTGAATCCCATTTTCTGACATGGATAACCAATATAACACAATATGTTTGTAATACGTCTTTTTCTAAGTTCTCGAGGGTGCTGATTAAAAATATATGGTCAGAAATAGAACAGGGTCATCCAATGTGGCGGTAATACCATATGGGTCTACAACTGTTACATCTGAACAACGGTAATATCAGGTATAAACTCTGTCTAATGAAATGTTTTACTCTTGTATTTCCAGACTGCAGCTAAATACTGTAGGATGACAATAGGCTTCTTCGTCTGATGACCTTAAACACTGTGTATAAATTTAAAGTCAATCGAATATTAACTTTAGCGCCGGACGGGGGTGACGACAATAATATATGACCACATTTCAATGTGGGCATATAAAAACTGTTATAGTGGAAAATATAATGTAACTGATGCGACCTAATCGTGCTGGGCAAGAGGAAAGGTCAAAGCTACATGAATTCTAGCAGAACAATGCATTTTTTGTAATCTATATACAATAAGAACTAACCACATCAAGAATAATATACTAAAACTCATTCGGAGTTCACAAATTTGATACAAACTAGACAGAGTTTATACCTGACATTACAAATTTATTAGTATTAGTAAAGAGTATATATTTCTTCAAGTCATTCAACCCCCATAGATTGTTTAATGATTTTCTCATTTTATCATACATTAACCCTTTCGATTAAATTTAAGCATTACTACCCATTTTTTTCTAGGAATGGAGATTGATATCATTTGTAACTCAAAGGGCAATCCTTGTCATTTTCCCCACATTCCATTATATATTCCCACATTTCTCCATATATTCCCAAATATATTTGCATGTCATAATATTGTATTAAGTATTAAGTAGGTGAATCACTCGGTTAAAGAACAACAAGTACAATTTATATATTCTAGGTTTATTATATTGGTAGTGATTATATTGACACGAGATGGATATATCATTTCAAACTACACAATTATTATAGGCCAGGCCTATCCTGTGATATATTCAAGAACTCTTGAGAGAAAAAAAAACTCTAAGCTGCCAAAACATTTTTTTTTTCTGTGAATGAATTGGCTTTGGTTTGTATTTAGTTAGATGAATTGAAATACTTGACAAAATACTATTTATCTTGATCTTTCTTTTCATTAAAGATGTTATATTTTACACAAGTAGCTAAAATTCAACAAAATCTAAATCAGTTCAGTTTGCGGACAAAAAATACTATCCGAATACTCCAGTCAATGGTGTATGTTATTTCAAGAAGAGATTTGAATATCGTGAAATTGTTATAGTAAAAATTCTGACTAAATGATACTTGAAAAATTCTTAATTCTTCTTATCCGTATAATTAAATATTATTTACATTTACAATAAGATATTTATCATAATATAATGTAGTATGAAGGTGACATGAAATTACATGCTTGTAGTAAAAAGCAATCTATTCAATTGATTGACTGATACTTTCAAAATTCCTAATATCAATGAATATATTTTGAACATTTCAACCTAAAAGTGCTGAAATATACTGTCTTGTTTTATTGGAAGACACAAATAATTTAAGTGACTGGTTCAGTTGAATAGATTTCCATGTACAAAACAGTATCTCATTTTACCTACACAAGATTTTCAAATGACTAAAACAACTTGCACACAATAACAGAGCATACATGTACAAGTTAAAGACAGCCAGAATGTTCTCATGGTTACGCTGGCGTGTATGTCCCACAAAATATATTGCAATAATTTAAAAAATTTCCCTGGCTTTTGTACTTTTGTCGGGAATAGTTGTTAAATTTGAACACAATCGGGCAATAAACAGATCTCATTACTTTAGACTAGATACTGAATTCTTATTAATACTATAAATTATAAATTTGAAATAATCGTAGAAATCTGATCAAATTTTCACTAATTGAATTATTTATTGCTATTTATCGTTTATAATGATAGTGGTATAAATTGTAAAAAAAAAACGAACCTCATGAAATTACATTAAAATAAAAAAGAATGAAATGAAACAATCATACATATAACACTCACAGTTGCACATACACACACAAACATACATGAAAGATGAAATAAAAACTACTGTAAATTTAACAAAATGAAACATCGTAGCAAAAATTATTATACAAATTAATTACAACATACACAAAGAGTTGGAAAGAAAGAAAAGTTAAATCAACAAGCTGTATGCAGTGCCAATAATAAATTCTGGGAGTTCTTTCCATCCATTTTGTGATTGGCTCTGGCTGCATATAAAAGAGACACATACATCTGTCAATAAATTTAAATTCTATAATAAAATACCTTTAAATTGGTATGGCAATGTGATATACGTGTAATGATTAATCTTAAATATAGGTTGCCAGGCAATGAAACATTCGTCCTTAGCAGCTAATTAGTCTGAGCATCAACAAGGGTTGACGCATATGTTGAAGAAGCCTATTGATTTCAAATGTTTTCAAGATAAATATTGCCAGATTTATGACCCTTGATCATTTAAAAAAATCTTGAACCGCTAAATTCATGACATTAAAATGTTTTGTATACTAAACGTGAACATGGGGCAGAATTAGAAGCCAAACAAATTCTAATGATTTCTAATAATTATTGAATGGGTTGTTACTCTAAATCAGATTGTAAATGTGTTGTAAATGCTTTCATTACTGACAAAAGAAAAAATACGTGATAATCTTTGTTGTCCGCTTCGACGAGTTTGCTGCTGTGTGCATGTTTCGTTGCCTTGCAACCGATCTTTTATGATGTGATCGGCCTGGGAATTGTGTCTCATTTAGCCAATGCTAGTAACAACGGTCAGCATCTGTGCAATAAATCATCAGTATAATAACATTGGTTCGCCAGGTATATAGCAGCACATTGTCTATTTCTCTTATATTCCAATATATACTTTCTATTTTCTTTTCAATCTTTTAGAACTTATCAATCATGCTAACCATGATTTTTTTATTTTTTTTTGGGGGGGGGGGGGCCAACAACATACAGCCAGTGTTCAACCCTAAATTACAGACAAGAAAATGTCTTGAAGAACCGAAAAAGTAGATTTACACAGTAGGTCAACATTCTTAATTTCTTCCTTCGTATTTTTGTTTTCATGGAAAAAAGCAATATTCTGCATTAATCAAAACAGAGTTTTAGCAGACAAGTTACAAGACCCAAATACTTATAAAATAAGAATTTAGTTTTGACATGACTGTATAGTTTAAAAGAATTAAAAAAGTATGTATCAAAACGATCTCTGAAAACACAGGAAGTGTGAAAATAAATGATAATGTAAATGTAAAAGAAGTTTATTTATTGCCAAATATAGGGTGAAAATGTCACCTCCATTTTCATTTTTTTAAAAATAAGAATGTTGCCCAATGAAAACATTAAAACAATTATACAAGATAAAACATGGATATCAAATATTAAAAGGCTAATAAATAAGAGTATGGTAGTGGCTTTTCCTGTGTTCAACCTCTATGTTAGCCACCTTGTCATAGGCTATAATTCTGATCTTAATACCGCAGCCAATTTGATTGGCTCAAGTCCAAAAGTACTACAGGAGTAACACTGGGATAAAACTTCTCAATGAAATAGGAGGAACATTATTGCAGGGATATATACTAGTTGTCCCCTTAGCCATTGTTTATAGGTAGTCTCGATCATCTAGTAATATGACAATAATAAACCCATATTTATCATTAGGTGGCTAATGAAAGTATTGGCTCAAGAGGAAGACCAAGAGAAATTAAGATTTATTTTTTATAATGTTCATCAACCACCCGTATCCCCTAGACCTTGAAAATCATTACTTTTCTTCAATTTTTATCGAAAACATGATGTTGACAAATTTCAAAATCACTTTCAAAATATTTGAATTTTGAAATACACTAGATAATATAGATCCAGTTAATAAAGAAGAAATGTCTAGTATATAGCTAACCAGACATTTCATAAAACATATTGGAGATTGAAGCTGCCTCATTTTCTAAATCCAGGTCCACAAAACTCAAGTTTTATTTAAATTTGTTGAAGTTAGAATGTATAGTCTTAAAAGGTAGAATATATAATTCAAAATACTATCCAATATCTTCCTATTGATATATTACATCCAGGTTGAATATATAATTCAAAATACTATCAATATATATTGATATCACATCAACCCAGCCCTAAAAAATATTTTTATTAAAACTAAATAAATTGTATTTTATTCCCAGGGTGAATTACTTAGTAATCTAAACCTCAATTGATAAAAGACTTTTTCCTTTTATTGGTTGACATAATATGTCCAGATAAAAATATTGATACTATTACTACTTTCTATTACTAGTAACAGGAGCAAGTTTTATAGCCCCTATGCTTAGATGTGTAAAATAAAATAATTTGCTAAAATGATTAAACACAGTAGAATATAAATTACATATACAATCTACATGATTCCCTTAGAGTAGAAACACAGGAGAAATAAAAATTCACAAAATGGTTAAATACCCTTCTGATTAAAATTCTCTGACAAGTTTATGTTTTTATTAATTGGAAGTTAGAAATCAAAACAGCCAACTCCATGAATTACTGATCACATATAAAAGGCCATATGTTCTTTACACATGGTCAATTACTATTTCTGATCCTGCATAATATCATGTCAATATAGTCTGATTGGTAATTACACTGGCAGTGATTGTCTTTATTATTATATCATTCAGCACTGTATAAAAACATAGTTGTTTGAATTCTCATGTTTTTAAAGTTGTTCAGGATCTAGCGGTGTCAACTTAGCAACTTCATGAAACACTCTGTAAATAAAATATTAGAAATGTCTTGTATTACTTGCTGTCAACACTTCATGTAGGTTATGATGATTTGAATAACATACACTGTTAAAATCCACATATTACAAACCATATGAACTAGGGGTGCATGTTATTAAGGGAATACAAATTTGGAACTTTTTCCCAATCACTTTCAATGACAAAATATTGATTATCACATGTCGATAAAAGAAAATGGTGCACTGGGCAAACATAACGGAAATAATGCCACTCGGTAATAACAAATTTCCCCAAATTACCTGTTATATATGGTTTTATGGTAGCTAATTTTATCTCCTACAGTGACATGTGTAACAGACATTATTTTGGAAGGAAAAAAAAAATCTACAAATTTGATTGGAAGGCCCCCTTGGAGTAAAATGGTGCAAAATCCTGAATTTAGAGCATTTCCTGGAACAAAATATGAAATCCTGAAAGTCTTATTTTCTTCAGTGGTTACTTGTAATTTTCATGAAAAATAATTAAACACATAGAACATTATGTGTTTCTGCAATGGATTTCAGATTTAGTATAATACAAAATGACCATGAATACATGTATAACAATAATGCAACATTTTTATGCTATTTGATTAACCTTACTTTTCTTCACAAGTTTTATTTACATTTTCCAGAACATGCTACTTTGGCCATTCCCACTTCCATGTATTTTTAATCCCATATCTGTACTTTTTGTGTCAAAATCACAATCCACTATCCTGGAAGCCATGTGAAAGTGATACCCCCAAGTTCATAATATTTGGACAAAAGAAGGTCAATAACCAATCAAATTACGTGCTACAATGACAAACAGATAGTTTACACTTGGCACACTTCGACAGACTCTGGTACCCTAAATTTAGTACTGTAGTCCGCCAAGGTTTGCCTAATGAGATAGCTTACTGTTTACTATCTGGAAACGAGCCTGATAAAAATCCTGATTTTTCTAATCTTGAAAAAACAGAACTGGTGAATAAAAATCGAAACTAGACTTTCAGAGAAGCGGAATTCCATTTTAAAACTGAAAAAAAAATCATGCCTGAATACAAGACCGCATAATTTTTCCTGGCCAGCAGCATATCAGCCTTTCTTCAAAATTCAAATCAAATTACATCACTAGCCCTGAAAGTGACAACCCTCTCCCATGAAAAAGCTAAGTTTTAACATTTTGTCTATATTTTACACCTTCGTCCTTAACCCCACTGGACATGTATGGAAAATATACTTACTGATGGGAGTATTTTGATAGTATAGTTGTGAGGTGTTTAGATGGATGAGATATACAATGGTTCAATTTCTTTACAATGGGTATTAATTCATCTCCATTATATGTACTAAAGTATTCTAGCGTCTTATTCTGCAAAATACAAAAAGTTATTATGAAATTCCCAGTGTGCATTTTGGCTAAAATATCAAATATTTCAAACCTTAATCCACACTAATATACTGAGATTGATTATTTAACATTTAATTACAAAAACATAAGAAAATTACCAACGCTAATCTTCTGGCTTGGATTAAATTAGCCTATAAATTTTTGCAGGCAACAATATGGTGGTGGGCTTATTGCATAGAACGATGAAATTTCAATTTGACATATCGTCGTAAAAACTGAACGGAATTGAACCATTTTTGGACTGATATTCCCATTAGAGATTCACCTTTCACCATATTGTTGTTTGCAAGTGATTCCAATAGTGCTAAAATGACACAGGAGGACTGTAGACTGTTTTCTAACCATCTGAACTTTAGCAAATCGAAAACATTGCCATTTGCAATAAAAAAGGGAAATGATCAAGTTATGCATGAAAAGGTTGTCCTGATTAAGAGCTGCATCACATGCTGGGGGCTGCTGTTATCTATGAATGACATATTTCTTCAGTCAGCACAATCACAGAAATAAGACCAAGACAAACTCCCATTTATGCCTCCTTATCTTATTCAACGAATAAGCTAAAGCATAAAGATTGCCAGCAAGTGACAGATGTATCTGTTAGATACTGTAGTCAATCCTGACTAGATAGATTAATATAAATAATTATGCAGCTTACACTGTACTATCTTTATTCTGTTTTGTTGGGAATTATAATGTATTGTCCAGGGCAGGAGGTAAAAATTAGATTATTCACTGATTTAGTGCATGAATTGAATGGTTGAAATTTCCCGCACAATTATTACTGGGTATTAGAATAAAATCATACCCAATCTCCCTCTTTCTTCATTTTACGTGCTAAATGTAGAGCGGCTGCAGCTAGTTTAGATTCTCGTACAGATATCAGACTATAATCCATTAATGACATCTCTAATATATAACGTGCCAATGTTAATGTCTTCATCTCAGCTCGTACACACTGAAAATATCACAATTACAATGTTTAAGGTAATAAAATATTGAACATGACATTTTGGATTCTATTTATTAGTAATTGTAAACAAATGGAAAAGATGGCTGGTGTGTACAATTCGAGGATTCATGTCATTCATGACATTACAGCCTACTCCACTTTGAATTATCAGCACTACTACAAAAACATATACAGTGGACTCTGTCAATTCCGACATCGTACAAGATCGATACAATATGCCACATTAGACAGCATGTCGGAATACTCAATTGCCTCAATTAAATACCGGAAGTATTATTGTACCTTCAAATACCGGAAGTTTTATAATGCACCATCGAATACCCAGAACATAAAATATGATAACGCTTTCTGCACATTCAAAATTTTGTTAGATTATAATTTATATCAAACAATTGCATAACAAGACACAATAACATAACAATACATGTACATAACAATTTACTTTGAACCTACATGTATATAATCATGTCGCTGTATTTGAAGTGTGAAACTTAAATCAAATACCAAGAGATTATAAAATTATCAAGGTAATCAACAAAGACCGACACATGTTTTATGCTCACAGGTAATAGATTGGTGATTGCTTTTTGGTTAACACCCATTGATTGAAGGCCGGATTATCCAATTTTAATTGTATGCAAATCGATTGACGGGACCGCTGAAGCTAATTGATGAACATAATTTTGGATTATTCAGAATACGGATTACTCAAAAACTTTTTGGGTTGAACTTGAAGTAATAAGGAAATAAATCAGGACATGAAAATGAAGACGGATTTCACAGAATGCTGTAGTATTCAGATGTCGGAATTGACAGAGTCCACTGTATTGTACAAAAAAATGTAGCCCATAACATCTAGTAGTACGCCATTAAAGGCAGAGTATTTTCAATGGCAATTACAAATAACAACAGGCAGTTGTCATGCAAGATACACCCACATACACAACACAGTGACATAAATGAAATTTGAATCATTTTATGTAAGATACTATAGTATAAAAGATGGTTTTATGATACCCATGTCTTTATTTTAAATGTATAAAGTCTTAACAACAGCCGTAAAGAACAATGGCTGTAGTAAGAGGTAGTGTGATTAAATCGTTCATTACTTACAACACCTTTAACTTTAAGACATAAGGGCACGACTAAATGGGTTATGAAATGTCACACTATCAAAACTGATGCATTAGTGTTATGCCCCCCCCCTCCAGCTAAATACAATGTCGACTAACCTTTGCAAATCTTCGTAAAAACCTGTAAGATAAGGGCATACCCAGATCAAAGCCAATTGTCTTTAATATATTTCTTTCCATGTCTAAAAATTCTTTCCTATTGTAAGCGTCATCACATATATAAAGGAAATCTTCTATCAGTGGGGGGCAACGTTCCTATAATAAACAAAACAAGACAAAAATAAATAGTTAATTATATAGTGTACCACAATACATTATCGACAAAGGATGGGAAGACTTCAGGGTGAGAAATATTTTTTTCTTAGTGAAATGAAAGTGACCTTTTTTCAACTTTACACGTAATATGACATTAAGATATATTAAGGTCGAGATGTTAAACCTGTTAACGAATTAAGTGCTATAAATGACTTGTAACCCTGACACCTGCTCAACCTGCTTGTTGTTATTGCACAGAAAACCCACCCCACTTCTCTATATGATTTCTACTATAACTAGTGTAAACCAGCTAAAGAGTGCAATAACATTGAACATGTCTAGTTATTGCACGGTTAAGCTCTACCTAATCTACTACAAGAGGGAAAACAATCTGCTTATTCAACAAAAAGAACAAAGGAAGATTTCCCGTCCATGTTACAAAATAAAATGAGAACATACATGAAAAGTATATCGAACAAAAGTAAGGTGCACCCATGCGGGTAAAATTTTTTGAAAACTATTATTATATTTATAGCACTACCTGATTTCATTTCATTTATCATCATAAAATGTCCCTTCATGCTGTATTCCATAAGATAGATCCATTAAGTCCATTAAAATAGGATTGTTCTTGTTCATGTTGCACGGCAGAGTGCAGAATTTTTAATGCCATGGGTTTTTGCATACCCTTGATCAGAAATTAATCATGCTAAATCAGTCTTTTGACTGTATCCCAACTTGAATATCATGAGTAAGCTTACTTTTAAATGAAACATTATATATAATAGACATTTCGACTGTTTTAATCTGATTGAACCATCAAGTGTGAACTATATTCTGAGTTCTTAGGTTGTTGGTTAACTTACATCAAATTTACAAGCAATAAATAAAGATGTTCCTCCAATAAGCTGTAGCATTTCTTTAGGTGTTTCTTTGATTGACAGGTAGGTGTCGACAAGTTTTACAGCCAGGTATAATGTCTCATGGTTTAACTCAAAGTTTTCTTGTACCTCCACTAACCAGTCTACTAGAATAGATCTCATGTTGGATGTTAACTGGGGTTGCTGGGTCATATATGGTTCTAGTTGAAATTTGGACTAAAATTTAAAAAAAGCAAACATTTAGGATTTATATAATTTATACATACTGAAGTTAGGACAAAGTATGGCACCATACAAGTACATGTATTATTATTTCAACATATTTATAGTGCACGCTTTCATATAACATGTTCAGGGGCACATTACAAAGAGACAATATAATCATAAATAAACAACAAGATTATGGACATGTTAACGATTGTATACAGAGTCAGTTAAAAGCCTGATTAAATAAATCTACAATTGACTCTATTCCATAACTTTTTCATATGAAGATGATGAAAATGTCCAATTGATAATTGCTTCTAAATCTAACACAGTATTTGTATAGCAAAAAATCCAATTTGATTAAAATTAAAACACAGATCCTAATTCGTTTTGTTTTTTATAGTTCAAAATTTTGTTTTACTTGTCTTTACTACAAAAAGCAATCTGATTAAAATACAGATCTATATTTTGTTTCGAAATATAAGATCTGTATTTTAATCAGTGAGATTGCAAAAAATCCAGCTTCCTGAAAGTTTCAGGAAAATCTGATCAAAACGTGTAGCCCCTTTTTTACTGACAAGCACATGAAGGGATTAAAATAAATTTTTTTACTATTGCTTGGCTATATAACTCCAGTAACAACTGTAATAATAGTCGTACAGAAGTAAGACGTTTTATTTTAATCCCTTTAAATGCCTGTGACAAGAAAGGGGCATAAGTCGCATAACTCTAAAAATATTCATATAAGTCATATAAGGTGGCTATGAAGACCTGGTTATCCCGAATGTCAGTGACTAGTTTCGTTCGTATTGAACTCTTCAGATTGATTGGACTCACGTGTTGGGCGGTTTTATTTATACTATTCCGAAACCCTGGTGGGGTTACCGGGGTTGGCCCCTTGACGGGGTTTGCAAATTTGTTACCGGGGTCGGTAGCTCGCTTACCGGGGTTGTACAAAGGTTTGACAAATTGGCGGGGTGCCGAATTTGTTACCGGGGTAGCTAGCTCGCTTGTCGGGGTTGTTTGTACTGATCGTTTAGATTGAAGTGCTAGTGTCCATAATTTTGGAGAGAGAAATGGGTTTAACGTCCACTCAACACAAACCAGGTCATCTTGGGACCAACAAATGGTTTAATTTTATTTCAATAATTCGCTTACGCATAGGGGTCTTTAGCAGTGGGAGGAAACCGGAGAGCCCGGAGAAAACCCACAAGGCTGGACAGGCGACCCTACTCCTTGTCACGTATAACCGGGGATTCGAAACCATGCCAGTCGACTCAATGACAGACTTTATGATACAGCGCGCGCACGCTAACCATTCAGCCATCCAACCCCCCTCCATAATTTTGCTAACTATGATGCCTTGGGTTGGTTTGTAACATTGTTACATAACAATGAAGGGATTCATCCGATTTAGCTGAAAAGAAACAGGGATCGTCGTCTTGTCATAATACATGTTTCTTTTACAAAACATCTGATATTGATAATACTCTAGCCAAACATGTGGGAATGATGAAGAAATGAAATTTAGACCTAAGGTAAATTATGCATGATTCCAGTCATTTAGTATTAAATCTTATATTCAGCATCTTTAAATAACGAGCGGCATCCCCAGGTAATTTCAAAAATGGCTATAATCATTTTCCAAGCACAGGCCCAAAGGACATGTGTGACACATGATCATTATAATAATAATAATTATAGTTTCCAAGTTAAGTGCAGAACGATTAACGGAAAGGAAGTATATGTACATATAAATATAAAGTGGCTGCGCAGGTGCGCAAGTATTAAATTGTCGTCATCAATTGACATGCCAGTATATCACAGACAGACTACGGGTGAAGTAACTGGGAAAGAAAAGATAGGTTGCCAGGCAACAAAACATACGCCCACAGCAATTAAATCGTCCAAGCGGTCGACAAGGGTTGTCGCATATTTATTCCTTTGTAGGTAATTGGGGGCCTTTACAAGACAGTTCCATACAGATCAGATTATAAATTTTGTCGTTTGAGGGTTTACAAGGTTTTACAAACTGAAACAAGGGTCTCAACTCTGGAAGTAATCTACAGAAATTGTTGAAATTTGACAGGCTTTTTCGTTTTACTAATTTAAATAATGCATATAAATTTCATACAGATCACATGATCACTTTTGTCATTCAAACGTTCACAATCGCCATAACTCTAGAAATTATTGAGAGAACAAGGTTTAACAAAGTGAAACAAGGGCAATAAATCTAGAAGTAATTATTGTAAATTGCTGAAATTCAATAGGCTTTTTCGTTTCACTAATCTAAATAATGCATATAAATTTCACAAAGATTGGGTGATAACTTTTGGCGTTGGAGCGTTCACAAGGTTCAATAAAGTGAAACAAGGGCCATAACTATAGACATAATAAACGGAAATTGCTAAAATTCTATAGGCTTCTTCGTCTCACTAATTTAAATAATGCATATAATTTTCAGAAAGATCGAATGATAACTTTTGACGTTAGAGCGTTCACAAGGATCAATAAAGTGAAACAAGGGCCATAACTCTAGACGTAATAAACGGAAATTGCTGAAATTCAATTGGCTTCTTCGTTTCAGTAATCTGAATAATGCATATATAAATTTCAGAAAGATCGAATAATAATAAACGGAAATTCTTCATCTCACTAATCAATTTTAAAACAATTGGATGATAACTTTTGGCGTTAGAGCGTTCACAAGAAATTGTGGACGATGGACCGATCGACAGACGGACGGGGGCGACGGCAATATACGTCCACATTTTCAATGTGGGCGTATAAAAAGTAAAAAAAGACACAATCGAATTTGTGTGTCATTTCAATTTTTAAAATGGAAACAATTCTACATGTATTCTTACAATACTCATACTATAGCTATACATAAGGCTGACCTTAAAAATATCTTTGTTTCACCAAACCCGACCCACAATCGAGGAGAAGGGTCGGTAGGTCGGTTTTTTTTTCAGATTTTTTTTTAAAGTCAGAGAAATCAATACAGAAAACTTATTAGCTGTATACTACAGATTCATTAATTTTGTTTAATGAATTTGGGGTCTGACGTAAAAAGTAACGAACTGAAAGTTTTTATTAAACTTAAGAGCTAATTTGACAGCTTAATAATTTTCCGGGTGGAAACATTCGTCTTCTTTATTGGCAAACAAATCAATGACATCGGGATTTTTCGTGATGCCCGACTCGCACACGATTAGCCACGAACTTGAAGTGTGAAACTCCTTCAACATGTTTTTAACGATAGTGCGCGTTGTGCTTTCATTTTTCTCGAAAACGGATATTGAAATATCGTCGTCATGTTTAAAACTACGCACCACAGACATAGAGGCAGAATTATTTCGTGGGAATGGACGTGTATTCGTCTGCAACCATTTTGTTGAGAAGCGACACCTATGACGCTTTCGTCTTGATCAACCAGTTTCAATAATGAATCAAACCATAGCCATAGTATAGGGAAATAACTCTCATGATATATTTCAGGTTGACACTCAAAATAAAATAAAAAGATCGTGGAAAAGTGCAATAAAATAATTTAAGTCGGGGGTGGTTTTAGTTAGTCGGTCGCGTTAGGCGAAACAAAGATATTTTTAAGGTCAGCCTAATTTAGGGGTTTTATTATTAAACTACCATGACGCAGCGATAACATTAACGAATGACTCGATGGTGGCGACGTTAACTTGCTTAGCCAGCCCTAGATTGTTAGCACAATAGCCTATGTACAGCAACCAATCAAAGGGTGGCTATGCGAGTCAATGTTTGACAAAACAACAGCTACTGTGATGTCGATGACAAGTAAACAATAACTGTCAACGCTCATATAGTATCAGAGACTTAGAGATTGCGTTTCTATGACAGTTCTACCATTTCCAGAAATGTTGTATGTTGACACTAACAAGACGAAGGCCTGGTGGACCTTAGTGAAATGGGCAAGCAGGGGTCCTCCGATCAATCAGTCGGCCTCGGGCCTACGGACCGATGTTTGTGTCAAACACTGGCTACAATCTTACCTCTCGCTCCATATAATATTTAAATATTTCTTTAGCGTAATTTCCACACTGTACAGGATCTGAATAATTTTCTTTATCAATGTCATCTACTCCTTCGGGTACAATTATTTCTGGTTCACTTTTATTGAAATCTACCAAACTATTCAATAAACAAAAATAAATCTAACAAACTATATGTATAGATAAGCTTATAACTTGTATCTCCAATAAGCAACATATTGACAAACTAATGTATTTTGGAATTAATACAAATCAATGCCGACAATATGTCATACAAGTTTACAAGTTACATGTACACTGTTTTCAAGGTTATCAGAGTGTTAAAGTGCACATGTCGTTGAGCTGCTTCACGTACACCCGAGTGCAGCTAAAAATAGTTCCTTTTGTATAATGGGTAAGCTTATTATGTTTATGCCTTATTTGTAATTTGTTTCTTTAATTTCTTTGTACATTTAATTTTCTGTACCATATTTTATAAAGAGCACATGAGCAGTTGCTGCTCGTGGAAGTCGTGTGCTATCAAAATGTACAATAATAAAAATACTAATAATATTGCTGCACGGAACAAGGCCTGCATTGTACTGCAGACCCACAACACCGACGCCATATTGCCATAACGGTCTTTACAGACTTACAATTACGTTACTTTAAAATTATACAGTTATGTTACTTTAAAATTTTACAATACCTTATATCTACTGATTGTGATTCCTGTGATAAAGGTACATCGGAACTGTCATCTGTACAACTTGAGTCTTGAGATGAAGATATCTTGGTCTTCTCTGCTTTCTTGATGTTCGACTTCTTTACTTTCAGATCCTTATTAACTTTAACTGTGGGTTTTACAATTGTTGTATTCTTCTTCAAACCAATTTTACTATTTGTATTCAAATCTTTTAATGCCTACAAGGAAAGGCTTTATTTTTTACCCATCAAAATATCAAATGAATATTGTAAACTTAAGCCACTGCTATCATACAGTTTGGTGAAAAATATTTAAATAGTATAATTTTGATGCTGCAGGTCACACAGAAGTTCATGTACAGAGTTCTTAGATTTACTTCAATTCAGTCGAGCATAGGTTTAAATACATTTTAGATGGAAATGAAATGTTCTGCTCCTACTGGGATAAGTAAGACAGCCATACGCCATGCAGTATGCTACATGAGGGAAATGTTGCCCGGACATCGGCGCTATGACCTACTCTTATTTCCAGTTCGACATTTTTGCTAGGCTTTAGTATGTGTGAACCACTCAGATAAGCCGATTGCTATTACATACTGATACATTGAACTTTGGGTTACCTCGGGTCAGGTAAAATATTAATTAGATAGATTCATTGTTCCAGTCATTGAGCAGATTTTACGTAGTCTGGCACCGAAAAACAAGATTCAACTCCACAATAACTCATTCCTTTTGGTGGGATTAACTAAATTTGGATTAGTGGTACCGGTAATACAATTTTTTAAACTTACATTTGTGAGATCGGCACAGACGGGTCGTCGTTTCATGGTGGGGTCAGATAAATTATCTCCCTGTCTTTTCAATCCTAGGCTATTATTGTTGCCAACATTACTCTGAAATAAATTGTAAAAAGGGGGCTATTTAAATCTGTATTCTATGGCACTTAGAAAGAGACACAAACAAATGGGTTGCTACAAATATAATATTAAACATGCATTATGCAAGAGCAAAATCTGCTTATTACAAGTCTTTCTTTAGGCCTGAAATGTTATCTAAATTATCAATTAGACATTAATTAACTTATCCAGACCATAATAAACTCTCGATGTCAAGGCTAGCCTTCGATGTAGGCTGGATTAGATTCCTATATGCCGCTAACGGCCAAAGATAATTAAATCAGAAAAAGTGGATTATCGAGACTATGCTGTTATATTATTGATTTTAGTAATGATAACCGAGACTATGCAAAAATTTCACCGGCTTCTTTCTCGGCTCACAGTGGATCAATTTGACTGAAATTTTCAGCAAATTACCTTTACACTATCTAGTTTTTAACTATTATAGCGAGAACTGCCATCTCTTTATCTTATCTTTAATAATTATGTAATATGTTTGACAAAATGAAGTGTCCAAATTGAATGGCAGTCTTTGGCGTCGGGTTATTCCAGTCTACACCAGTAGCATTCCACTGTGGGTTGCTTTACCTGGTTCATGGAGTCGCTTCATTACAAATGGCGCTCGAAAGCATTCTGTCGTTGTAGACTGGGATAACCAGATGCTAGAGATTGTCATTCGATTGAGACATGGCATATTTCGCCGAACATACAACTGATTAAATATTATAATTATTATGTACAGTAAAAAGAGAAGGCAGTGGATATTTAACCGTATACGGCCCTTTACTTTATTTACTATTTTGCCGTACGCTTCCGTTTAACATGCGCAGTTCTCTAATACCTGGACTTAGCAGTTTTCATTTTGGCGTCTGACATTAACCCATAACCCAAACCCAACAGTTCTATTCGTTCTTTGTCTAACATTGCTTCTTTTTCCGTTTCTTATAAAGGAACGAAATAGCCCTAGGCCTACTTGAATTTCTATGGTAGAAACTGGAGAATTATTTTTAAAAGAAAATAAGATACGGTAATAAATGTAAATTGTAGAAAAGCATTTACAATATTATTCTATTTTGGTCGAGGGCGCATTTCTGTGGATTTTGGTTTTAATTTAAGTACCGTTACTAAGACTGTCAGTGGTTTATGTTTTTCCCGTAAAATCGTGCTTCTGCACCGTAACGAGGTACGGTAAAATAGCGGAAGTAGATACTTTAACTTTGAAAAGATAAACGAATGAATGTAAATCAGTTTGTACGTATTCATAATATTACAATTACATTATTTAAATGCATTGCGACCAATCTCTAGGCCTATTTCACATCATGTCATTTCGACATTTATCATTTATGTAAATTTCTAGGTCCCAAAAATTTGTACATGTAGGGACTAGGGTAGGCCCCTTGGCTATATATATCGATTTAGCTCCTTTTAATATTAATTGTTTTGAAATAAATTGAAATTGAAGGAAAAATGGACAGTTTTGCTATTAATTGAATGTGATAGGCTATATGACACGATGAGTGTGAGGTCTAAATTAGGCTGGCCTAATTGACAAAATTTAGCTTATCACATGCAGGATATACTTACTTGATCTGAGCTGGGTTTAGCTTTCTTGTTTTCAAATCCGAGCCCCATCCGAGTTTTGCGACTGTTGTTCATCATGACTGCAAACTCAACTATCTCCACACATGCAAATTTATCTTAAATATGCTAGGCCTAAAAGAATAAATTAATATTCTGGTTAATAACTATTAACTATAATTTAAACAAAGCATAGATACAATAAATTTTAAAAAATAGCTTGTTTACAAATCTACTCAATAACAAAAACGACAACCTGAGTTTGAAATTCGCTGATTCCTCCTCGACGTTGATTGGTTCAGAATTTGTAACGGGCCAATCAAATGGCTAGGAATCAATCCTAACGTCAAAATAGTGCGTAACATTCTCAGGGGAAGATAACTGTGTTGGTATTTCCCAGACTATCTTTGTTTTACATGGGAATGAATAATAATCTCCGATTGTGTAATCAACTTTTAACAATAGCTGTTTCTTTTGCACATACCGAGTCAATAGAAATAAACTGCGACTTCCGTATAAAGACTATTAAGATTTCCAAACATCATTAAATTGGGAGATTTTGAATCCATCGCAAGCTACACTAGTTATTAGTTATTGAGCGACATATAAATTGTAAAATATTGTAAATTTCTTTCAGAAATTCAGGGATACACATTAAAGTAGTTCAAAGGTCGATCCTCAATGTATTTAGTAATTGTAAAGTCTCTCCTGTGTTTTTGACATCACCCTGAGAACTATCTCCAGATTCTTTATCAATTTTCCAAACTTCATAGAAAAAAATAAAATCGATTGTATAGGCTAATAATCTTAATAAAGGCTAGCGTGGGTTTACCATGGTGAGGAAAATATACTTTTTCTGTACACTTGATAAAAGAAATTCTACAAATAAAAATATTCAAGAATTAATTATTATAGATGGTATAAAAACATGTGACCAAAGAAAATATCTTATTAGAAATAAAAAAAATTCTACTCAAATTTGTATTTAAAAAAAGACTTAGCTGGAATACGAAACCCTTCAATTTAAAAATTGTCTTGGAAATATAAATATTAATAGATTAAAGGGACTATCGAATTGAACAGAGTCTCAAAAATAAAAGTCCGAGTACGTATGAAATTTAAGCGCCAAAATATAAAGGAATGATGTATTTACCCTGCCTCAAAATTTCAGCTCAAAATATTGAGGCATTTGGATGTGAACATCAAAACTGCTTATCCGGACACGTAATCCTTTTAAGTTTTGGGTCAATTCTTTCGTTGGGTGACCTGATAATCGATTCCCGTTCCCTTAGAGGTTTATACAGTGAATGACCCATGTGCTGTACTTGATAACGAAAGGTAAATTTCACTTACAGATTATTCTTATAAAATAAAAGTCTGGTTTTATCCAGACACCGCATAATACAGCTTGGGGCACCGGTCCACACTTCCAGATTATATTGAGTTAGTTGCTCGACCCTAAAAGTCCGAGTACGTATGAAATTTAAGCGCCAAAATATAAAGGAATGATGTATTTACCCTGCCTCAAAATTTCAGCTCAAAATATTGAGGCATTTGGATGTGAACATCAAAACTGCTTATCCGGACACGTAATCCTTTTAAGTTTTGGGTCAATTCTTTCGTTGGGTGACCTGATAATCGATTCCCGTTCCCTTAGAGGTTTATACAGTGAATGACCCATGTGCTGTACTTGATAACGAAAGGTAAATTTCACTTACAGATTATTCTTATAAAATAAAAGTCTGGTTTTATCCAGACACCGCATAATACAGCTTGGGGCACCGGTCCACACTTCCAGATTATATTGAGTTAGTTGCTCGACCCTAAAAGTCCGAGTACGTATGAAATTTAAGCGCCAAAATATAAAGGAATGATGTATTTACCCTGCCTCAAAATTTCAGCTCAAAATATTGAGGCATTTGGATGTGAACATCAAAACTGCTTATCCGGACACGTAATCCTTTTAAGTTTTGGGTCAATTCTTTCGTTGGGTGACCTGATAATCGATTCCCGTTCCCTTAGAGGTTTATACAGTGAATGACCCATGTGCTGTACTTGATAACGAAAGGTAAATTTCACTTACAGATTATTCTTATAAAATAAAAGTCTGGTTTTATCCAGACACCGCATAATACAGCTTGGGGCACCGGTCCACACTTCCAAATTATATTGAGTTAGTTGCTCGACCCTAAGGTATAGGATTTTAAGGGATTTTAACACAAAAATAACCAGTTTTATTCTCCAAAATATTATCGGGATTGGCCCTTTAACAAAAATAGACAGTGAATCTATAGAAGGTCCAATATCTTACGCTGAAACATGTAATACAATGAAATCTATGAAAATTAGTAAAAGTCCAAGCCTAGTTGGTTTCACTTCCGAATATTTCGTTTTTGTTTTATAAGTCTGTATTCGTTTCCGAAGTTCTTTAGCAAATCGCGTATAATTTGCTGTGCGATGTATACCCAAAGGAGTAGCAATTTCAGCAAAAAACTTATCTAGTTTATTATTTCTTCTGGCTAATCTATATGCACAGCCGGGTCTGTATTGCAATTAATAATCTTGTCAACCTTCCAATTTGTTCGCATCTGCGACATGATAGTGATTAGAAAAGAATTTACTGCGTTAGGACAATTAAAATAAAGAGACAAAAACGAAAGTGGAACATTTAAAAATAACACAGTGTTATACAGTGTTTTTATTTTACACCACTAGACTGTACACTGGTGTAAACACTTTAGTATTAAATTGAGAAGCTCGGGCTAATTAGGCATAAAAAAATACACCAGTTATACACCGCTGCTATACACAAGCGGAACCCGGGAGACAGTCGACAAAATAAAGTACACTGAATTCCGCATGACGTATTGATCAGAAGCCACTCTGCATTGTTCGACAGTTATGTAAAATTGGAGCGCATCAACATTTTCTTTACATTTTCCGCGTATTATAGCCCAAAGAAAACACAATACACAGCAGGTGTACGATTTCAAATAATTATAAACTTGCAATTAGGCCTGGCCAAGAGTGCCTTTATTTTGACCACAATTTTGACAGTTCTAAAAATAGAACTACACACGACAACCCGAGGGCTTTTGCCCGACTTGTTTGGAGTAATGCGCGTAAGGTCACTCTTGCAGGTAGCAAATAATCCCTTCATTTCTAAAAATAAGTGTGTAGTTATCCTAAGTATGCAATAAATGTAGATATGACAGTATGATGTGAAAAGCCAGTGTGATGTTGGGAACACAACGTTTATCAAATACTACAGATGTGTTACAGTTTTAATCCACGGACACTGTTTTAGTGTGAGGAAAAACATACGATTATATCGAGCGTGCTTCTGAGTTGGGTATAGGTCAACCTGCCATTTAGTTGAACAGCTAACTTTTTCCACAGTTGCTCAGAACACATTACTCACTAGGCTGAATAGTATTTACACAAACAACAGCAGGTTATAAATAGAAGCTTGCAATCTACTGGAAAAACTGATAAATTCTGTGAACGTTAGAACCAAGCAGGCTATGTATTTATAATATAAAGGTAGTGAAAGTGCTAATTTATAGTTGATTGAATAGAGAATTCCATATTTATCAACTTATGTGTGTGCTATATTCCTTAACAAAGGGACAAGTGGATATTCCAATCAAGTAATTTCTATGTTTCTTTACTTATAGAAAGTTTTAAAGAGTGCTATACCCTTTAATAATCTATGGATGCTAGAACCAAAGAGTCTATGATTTTAAACTTTGAGTGTGTAAAAGTTTTAAACAAAAGTTATCTTTTATTATCATTAGACGTTTGTTGATTTCGACACACAATGGACAAAGATAAAAAGCCAGGAATCCTAGGATTCCAAACCAAAGATGCACTGAAAGGAGAAAACATGAAAATATCTTCCGATTTAAGAACTCTCCGGGCAAACTATAAAGAAATTAAACTCCACCTTGATAATCTGGAGAGAGAGTATATATTATCAAAGGCCAGTGTACCCATGGTAAGATACAATCTTTTAAAAGATATGATCAAAAAGGTGACTGATAAAAAAATATTAGAGAAACTTAGAAGCTGGATTGCGACGGTGTCACAGCACGAATCCAACCACAGTAGCTCGGGTTTGTTGGAAAAATGTAAGGAATTCTGTGAGAAAAAACCGTCGAGAGAAAATGTCGACCCACAACCTAAAGAACACAAAAAGAGCGGGGTAAGCGGGTTGTTACAAAGATGTAAAGAGTTTGCTGGCGAAACGGACCAACTTGGGAAGACAGAGAAAGATCTGCAGTTATTATCAAAACAAGAAGTGATAGACGATAACGAAAAAAAGAGAAAAGAAATAAAGGAATTGAATGAGAAATTTCCACGAATATTAAGTCGCCTAGAACAGCTTTCTAATGGATATGAGGAATATAAGAAATTACCTTTCACTACGAAATATAGTAAAATGAAAGAAATGATTAAACTAGTCATTACGGACGAAACCCTGTAAAACAGGTCAATTTTCAACATGGCAATCGTCAATTGGTAGACGTGAGCCGTGAATGATTTTAGAAATATTATTACATAATACAGGCCAAATCGCCAAAAGGTCAGTTAATATTGAGAGCTGTAAAACGTCTGAAGGATAATTGCCTGGAATTATCTGATATGACCTGGAATGTAGTTATTTAACCCCAAACAACCCTTCTCAGAAAATATGGAAGACCATGGGGGAAATGGGACAATATTAATAATGATTGTTTCTACATTCTAGTTTGAACATTAATAGACTAAAGCAACATTTTAAGCTAATAATTGTTGTTTCTACAATCTAATGTCAACATCTCAAGCACAAAATCAACATTGGAAACTATAAGGAATTGACTTTGTTTCATTTTCGGCGTTTTATTAGAAACAAAAACCATTGATGTCCCATTCAATTTGGACTTCTATTGAAAACATTAATAATCGTGACAATTAGGCTGGAGAATCGATACAAAACTTTTATTAGACTGTAATAGTTTATTAAATTGTGTAGACGAGTTGGTATATAGACGAGTTAACCCGGGGACAAGTTGACGTATGGACGACTTAACATTCAATGATTTGGGAATTAAAACTTGTACATAATTTTTATATAACACATAAAATATTCTACTTTATAAACTTAAAATATATAAATAAAAATATATATCGATGCTTTCGTTGTTTGCGTTATGATATAGGAGCAATGTCAGATATGTTTTAGTGAATATATCTTGCTAATTCGAGTGTTGCAACTATCTGGCTCCACGTCGAGTAATCTAATAATCTCGATACCCGACCGTTGGAGTGAGTGCATAAAACAGCCAAAGCTTTAATGGAAGTAAAAAGTTGAAACACGAAATGAAATTTGTTTTAACTTCATGATTTTCTGCAGCAACCGGGATATAGATGCGGGGTATTGTGTGACAAATTTTCCCGAACAGTATCGTAAAACATTTACAAAAAGTACCACTAAATAAGTCGCTTTGCTCAATACCCATTATACTCGACTGGTCTGTAGTAAAATTAATGATCAGTAGATATTCGATGGGCTCTATTATCACCGAAAAGGATGACATCTGGGCAGGTTTATTATTTACAAAGATGCAAGAGCACCATGCAGATGATAACCCAGGGGTCAGGAACTTGGAACAAATATTTTGAGAGATAGGTTAGTAGGCTATCCAGATATATCCCCACAAATTGGTTTTGGGACCAATTTTAGATGATCTATTCTGAAAATAATTGATTTAGGCAGACAACATTTTGATCAATAGTAGGGCCACTCATTCTCCTCGTACCACCCACCGAGTTGTAAGTTTCTACTGCTAATGATACCTTGGCAAAGGCCAAATAGTGAAAATTGAATTAGTAAAACCTAGGTATGAGAGCTCGATCGGTACAGGGACTCGAGCCACCAAAGTTGAATGTTACGGCCTACTCTTATTTCGAATTCCATTTGTCAGGGCTCTTTTGTGTGCACACGAACGGGTACATGTGATCTCCAATTTACGTATATATACCATCAGTACAAGTTTGTTTTCATCGCCCGGTGAGATCTGCCGAGAGATCGAAATAGTTATCCAGACATTATAATTTGCTTGATAACGTTGATAGAACCATCAACGAAACGTTCCATATTAAAATGTTTTTGTGTTAATTACATGTGTCAATTGCTAAACATTTTAATTTGTATTTTATACACTTAAAATATATCGGGGGTATTTGAAATGAATTCCTATCATTGCAAAAATGAAATGAAGTGGAGTTTAACATCCTACTGTTCTGTTCCGACTGGGCTAATGAAGACGGGCATACGATGGAAATTTTGCCCAGGCAGCGATCGAATTCCAACTGCCAAGGGATCTGTTCCGTGCACGCCAATGTGTACACGGGACCCCGGTTTTCGTACCATCCGAACGGCTAGACATCTGTCCTTGTCAGGCCCTCCATCCTGCACCACTGGCAAGGGGAACCCACACCGGAAAATTCCGATGAAATCTCTCGGCCAATGCAGAGATCGAACACGCGACCTCCAGGATAGCGAGCCATGAATGTCTTACACACATAGCCACTGTGGTTCCCAGCTATGATTGTAAGTGAATTCCGGCGAATGATAATAACTAGTCCATATATACCGGGGAAACCTGTAACAATATTTTATTTGGGCGCGTGTTATGAAACCTGTCAAAAGATCGAAATAGTTATTGATAAGACAATGTATAAATAACACTACATTATCACACATTTGAAATTCTGGCAGGGTTGGGTTTGTTTTGTTTTTTTTAATTTGTTTATTATTTTTTTAAATACACCTTCACGTAGGCCTACAATTTTCTTATCACCGCCTGGTGAGACCTGCTGAGAGATCGAAATAGATATTTATTATAATATTAAACATACATTATGCAAGAGCTATCTGCCTATTGTTGTCTAGGTCTTTCTTCGGGCCTGATTAAATGTTAGCTAAATTATTAATTAGACAATTAATTGACTTGTTCAGATCATAATCAACTCTCGATGCCATCGCTAGCCTGCAATATTTAGCGGATTAGAATAGATTTTTTGAAAAATAATTAAATGTAAAAGTTCCAAGTTTAATAATGATGATCGAGGCTAGCCTAAAATTCGAAAAGCTACTATCTCTGTTCAATCAGAGGAGAGCATGGAGCAACATGACTGAAATTTTCAGCATATTCTATTTACGTTATCTATTACCGAGAACTGCCAACTCTTTATCTAATCTCCCATAATGCTCCTTTAATTATAATAATATTATGAATTAATAATGTTCGGGGATTTTCCGAAGTGTAATCCTGTCTTTTCAAGTGAATTCCGGTGATTGTAAGTGATTTCCGGTAAATTCCGTCCGGCCCGGTTATCCAGTCTTGAGCATTCTTCGGTTAGAGTTATATTTCTTGCCAGGTTGTATATAACTCCCAGTAGAAAACTGCGAGGAGGAGGGAGTGTAAGTATTAATACTATGCATTAATAAGCTAATTTAAAACAAATGACTTAAACTAATTCTACATCTAACTAAACTTGCTGTCAGTGCAGCAGTTAAATTCTATTCAGATGTTCTTGAGTGACTTACATGGTCAAATGTAGATTAATTAAAGCCATTAAAACTAAAAAGGGCATAATAATTAATATTACTAATATTACTACTATTTACTAATATTTATTTATTAATATATAACCTACTATTATATAGCCATAGTCTAGGTGTAACTCACCTGAAACTCAATATTAATTACATGCACGAATTATTGGTTCATTCCAACTAATAAAGATGTTGTCATCTTACTCTTGAAAATAAGTCACTTGATCAAATCTAAAATAAATTGACTTTATTTTATTCTGTAGCATATATCTTTATGAAACTTGCAACTATTACTATTCTTGTGGTTTGTGCCTTTTGTGAATTAGAAATTTCACAGATTTGATACATATTTGTGTTAACACTGAACAAAAATTGAGGTAGAACAATTGGGATGCCTGATACTATTTGCTATGCATAGGACATTATAGGCTAGTATTTTGTTGTTGATTCCCAATAACACAGAGATCATTTGTTTGATAACGTTGCTCAACAGAACGTAGCTTTACTCCTTCCCTGACTGTACCTTCCTAAACATGTCCAAGGATGAAGGATGTTAATGACTGAGTCTTCTTGATTCAGGTGTTGTATAGTTTGATCACTTCCAGGTTTAAACATTGAGGGTGTAGCATCGGACCCCACCCTTAATGGTATGTGACAAGGGTGTCTGGGTAAATCTATGTCTCTTTTCTCAATTCTGATACCTTTGCTAAAGGGCCAGACACAAATGTATGCAGTAATGAAATATTATGTTACTGCTGTCTTAAGTATGACAAACTAACAGTTATGTTGCACAACCATAAACTCTATATATCTGTTTCTCATTAGAATATTAAATTTGATTTTAAAAAATTTATTTACAGGTTAATCGTATAATTGAGGTCTTTGGTGGATGTTCATATACAATGTGAGACGTGACACACTACAACAATATGGCGGGGACAAAAATTATTAGCCTAGTCCTGTGTAGTCTGGGCGTGTTCATGTCATTTCGGCCCCACTGGATATATATTGATGAATTTATCCAGACATATTATCGGAATATAACAGACGGTGAATTGTATGACACGATTTATCCTGTGAAAGATTACTCTGGTTTGATTTTGTTGATTATTGTTATTTTAGTGACAGATTATGTTAAATATAAACCCATCATAGTTCTTCAAGGAATTTTTTCAATGATTTTAATGTCGTTATTGAATTGGGACCAACAGATCATTCCGTTAATTGTTTCGCAAGTTTTTCATGGATTTATCATGGCAACAAACATTGCATTTTATGCATATATTTTTGCGGTTGCCGATTCAGAGAAATATAAACTAAGTACCTGTTTATCTCAGGTTTCTGTTTTGTTTGGAATTTTCCTTGGTAATTTATTGGCTGTTTTATTTTTATCTTTGAATATTACGGGCCTGGGCACAATTAACCTCATTTCTTTTGCATTCTCTGTTGTTACATTAATTGTGGCTCTGATGTTGCCACACGTGAAACCTCGGATACCAACAACTAGAGAAATTATAGAGAGAGAGCTTCAACTACCTAATGGTCTTTATGTTCCCGAAACTGTTACAAAGAGTCCTTGGGAAGTTGATCGCAGACCTTCCATGCATTCTACAGGCACTCAGGGTATTATGGACACATACACACATATTAATGACCCAGCATTCACAGCCTATGCACGGTCCAACATGTATAGTGATATAGACACAAGTTCTCTTGGTTTCTATGGAGATTATTCTATTAGTGAACGATATACCACTTCCATTGACTCAGAATCAAATGAAAACTCAAGGGAAGATAACTCTATTACATCTGAAGTACATTCAAGCCAACCAGGTACAACACAGAAGGACAAAATAAATAAATTTCTAAAAGATTTAAAGAAAGCGTACTCTGAGAAACTCGTCATCTATTGGTCAAGTTGGCTAGTCTTCAGTATTTGTGGCCATCTGATGTTAGAAGATGATTTTCAGAGACTTTTAGATGAAATTGTTCCTGGTCGGAATTCTCCTCTGGTTTATGATGCAAGTGTTTCCACCCTGGCGGCATTATTAGGTAGGTATGGTCACATTGTATAAAGGATTTAATCAAGGAGCTCAACCTCTTGGATTTGAGTTAAAATAAAAGAGTTGAATTGGGTTGATCAGATGTGTTATTTTGATTAGAGATTTGAGTTAAAATAAAGTATTGATTTCTGATGTTATTTGGATTAGTGAGGAGGCTAGCTCTGAATTATTAAATTTTTGTTTTGAGTGATTAATCTGAAGTTTGTTTGTTTACTAAATTTATTTTAAATTCAAAAAGACAAATCAGAAATATACCTCAAAACTCGCTTTATCTGTAGATGTAAAATCAACACATAAAATGTAACGAAAACAGCAATTTTCATTTTGACTTAAATCATAGAGAGGTCCTACCATTTAAAGAGTGACCAACTAAGTTCACGTAAGGTGTAGAAAACGTAAGCAGTATGATATACAACGATTTGCGATAAATTGATATTACATGTTTTGTATATTTACTAACTTTAAGCATGGGGGAGAACAAGAAATCAAACAAATTCTAATGATTCCTGATAATTACTTATTAAGTTTTTACTCTTAATGTTAAATACAAACTGCTGTGGCCAAATGTTTTGTTACCTGGAAACCTATGTTTATAATAGTTGATGATATATTTGTTATAGGAATCATACCAGTGATGATATATGGAGTTACAAAAGGAACATGGACAGTGTATAGTGAACCTATTTTAGCTATTGTAGGGTTATTTACCTGTCTCTTATACTGTCTACTAGCTAACATCAATAATATCTGGGCAATATATTCATTGTATATCATATACTACCTACTCTTTCAACTTATGTTTGTTGTGGCTTTGTAAGTATACAACTTATAAGCTTAAAGTAAAGGGCTAAATCTCTGATTAGGGTCAAAAATAAAAAAAATTATACACCACCTTTTCATATGGACATATGCCATGGCCCCTGTCCGGGTCAATGAAAGAATGAACCCTTTTGATTTCCCCTGTTCTCTGCCCATCTCTTGCAAAATGTTGGTGTTTCTTACATGGCAACCGCCTATTATTTTATTTTAAAAACGGTTCATATATATTACGGTTGAGTTCAAAATGATTTACCCCCCACCCCTTTATGCAGTTAATGTAAAAGGATGTTATACCAAACTTGTGTATTCTCCAGAGGTCACAATTTTTATCTGATTTTGATGAAAGTTAAAATATGTCTTGTATTATGTCTGAATGAAATAAAACGGCCAAGGCCAAGTGGCAAGTAAGAGAGAATGATTTGTTCAATAAACCGATGGTAAAACCGATAATCTAAACATCACTAGACATTATTAAAGAAGAATGCAAGTACAGAGGTTAACTGTTAGAATTTCTAAATTAATTTGTACATTTAACAATAAGTACGATTAAAAGCTGATTTATGATGACAAATTATTATGGCTTGTATAGACTTATTACCACTCTAAATGCCGTAAAATATGAGAATGTCTTTTTAGGATCAATTTAATTATTGCAAGTACTAATGCCGTTGAAACATTTTACCAGTTTTAGTGAAATTAAAAAATGTTATTAATGCCAAAATTGAATTTAAATTTAAAACAAATTCTAAGGGAAATTCTCCACAGCACATCTGTGGGATTACTTGATATTTATCTAATATAATTATATGTATTTACCTTCTGTTAAGCTTAAAGGAGCTATGATTGTTGTGTTTACAGATATCAGATTGGTGATGTTTTACAATCTAGACGATATGGTTTTATTTTTGGTATGAATTTGTTTATAGCTGTTTTTTTAAAAGTTATTTTACAATCTATACAAGGTAACAGACAAACGTTACATCTGCCAATTACAACACAGGTTAGTATTGTTACATTTCACAGTTATAACACAGGTTAGTGTATAGTTAGGCTGTCCTGAATAAATTCCCTGTATGACCCACGGGGTAGATTTTTTCATGTGTTCATGCAGGCGAAATCATTTTGTGTCTCCCACCTTTCGATGAAATCAAGGGATTATCAAATATCTATTTGATTGGTTGATGCTTTGGGATAACTTTCATTCTAATTGAGTAACAGTAATGAAATTCAGTGTGTAGTTTCATTACATCAGTAAGTTGATGTAATTTTAGTCTGATTTGGATGAAATTTAAAATATATGTTTGTATCCCAAAGATCTTAGATGAGGTCGATTTTGGCACATTTTTGGACTGTAACTTCATGGATTATTGCCCCTGATTTATGAAAAATCATAATTTTTATCCAATTTTAAAAACCATTCAAATATATGTGTTACACCAGTCGCAGATGAGTTCAAATTTTGAAAATAAATCGAGCCAAAACTTCCTGTCAAAGTTGTCCCTCCCGTTTATGCAAATAGTGCCAAATCATGTAATACATGTACATATATCAATTAAGGTTGTAGATCCTCTAAGGGTTACATTTAAATGAAGCAAAAAATATGTGTTCAGGGTCAAAAGATCTTGGTGTGCATTAGAGTTGTAGAGTTATGCCTCCTGTCTTTTACCCAAAATGTGAAATGTATACAAAGTTTGTTAACAATTTAAGATTTGGGGTGAATCATTTAAGCTCTCTGCAACATTTGGTTTCAAAGTTACCCCTTTTATCGAAAACTTTGCAAATGCGATGGAGGGTACAGTTTTTAACAGATTATCATCTAATTCGATGTGAAGCATTGGGACAATTTATTGATATTCCCTGTGGACGTATCTATGGCAGAATAATTAAAGTGTTGTTTTTTTTTGTTATCTTATTCCAGATTACTGTGATGGGTGGGATATTTGGACTTTTTGGTTTAAGTTTTTTAACAAAGATGTTATATTCACTGATAGACCTGTATAGACAAAATGGAGGCTGTTGTGGGAACTACAGCAACCCCCAAGACCGTGACTTGTTGGTTGCCAGTACCTCATAAAAAACCAATGCAAAGTGCTTTTATTTAATATTCCAAATTATTTTGATGCACACCAATATTTATTACAACACAACTTGACATTACATCATTGTAATAATATGTCTAAGTGTAGTAAAGGATTTTAAAGATGTTATCTGTAGTGTTATTTTACTTACATGCACAGAGGAACGATGATCCAAATCCTCTTGAAATAAAGTACAACGAAGACGATATGTTGTTCAGAGAATGCATTTCATATTTATTACCATATGTGTTTTTGGTCATTATACATGGGGATAAAACTTGATTTGATTACAATCATTACATTTATTACAGACACAAACTACACACAGACACTGCAAGCAATAAACAACAATATCATATCAATTGAATAATAATCTGGCAAAATTTACCGTTAGATCAGTGGTTCCCAACCTTTCTGTGATGAGTACCACTTGGAGGTCCCATACAGTCGCCACTACCACCTGGTTCCAGAGAAACTCAGTTTGATCAAATATCACTTTATTTGCATAATTTTACAAGTAGATAACCAAATGAACTAAAAAAAAACCTCAACTAAATGTGAGGGCTGTATCTGCTTTTTCTCTACCAGCTGGTCAATGCGGGGCATGACTTTGCCCACAGCACATTGGAAATCATGCTCGGGCGCAGCAAGACAGTTTCGGCTCTTCGACTTGATGTTCATGAAGGCTGAGAACCCCTGCTCGCACTCCCACGTCGAGGGAAAAATCAGTAGCTGGGGAACAGCATGACGGGATAGCGTCGGGTACGAGGAGGCCATGCTCACCGGGATGTAATAAGAATAGTAACATACATACTGAGAAAATAATGGGTATTATCTTGTGTTAGGCAGTAAACATTTTTGTGAAGTAAAAAATAACTAAAAATCGTTCATGACCCCGAAAGTGCTCGCGTACAACTAGTGGTACGCGTACCACAGGTTGGGAACCACTGCGTTAGATGTTACGGATTTTGTCAATAAATGTAAAGTAAAGAGATTTGTTAAAACCAACCATGCTAATCTAAGAAATGAAATGAAATGAAATGCGGGTTTTACGTCCTATTTTTGTACCCACTGGGATAATGATGACTGGCACATGCCATACAGTGTGCTATGAGGAAAGTCTTGCCTGGACAGCGGCGTTACGGCCTACTTTTTTTTTTTTATCACATCCAAATGACTAGACGCTGGCCCTTCACCACTGACAAGGGATAACCAGGCTGGATAATTCCCAGACACTTTCTTGGCCAACATTGGGATCTTAACCACTGAGCCACTGAATCTTAAAGAAAAATTAAAAAGACGCTAAGTTGTAACGAAAAACATTTCAGCGGTACAAACATACGTTTTTTTATACGCCCACATTTTCATGTGGACGTATATTGTCGTCGCCCCTGTCCGTCCACAATTGTTTGTGAACACTCTACAGGTCACAATTTTTATCCGATTTCAATGAAACTTGAAATATAGGTTTATCACCATAAGATCTCGATTCCTTTCGATATTGGCATGTATCGGACTATAACTTCATGGATTATGGTCTCTGTTCCTTTCGATATTTGCATGTATCGGACTATAACTTCATGGATTATGGTCCCCGATTGTACAAAAAATCATGTTTTTAGCTTGTGAACACTGTAGAGGTCACAATTTTTATCCGATCTGGTTTAAACTTGAAATGTATGTTTATAAACCCACAGATCTCGGTTCCTTTCGATATTCGCGCATATCGGATTATAACATCCTGAATTATGGCCCCTGATTGTACGAAAAATCGCGTTTTTAGCTTGTGGACCCTATAGAGGTCATAATTTTTATCCGTTTGAATATATCACCGTTACACCCTAAGGCTTGTTGAGTTCGAATTTCGTAAAAATCGTACCGAAACTGACGGACAAAATGGCCACCCCTCGTTCGCAAATAGTGTCAAAATATTGTATATCAGTGTTGTGTACCCCCTGGAGGTCACAATTTTCATCTGATTTTGATGAAACTTGAAATGCATGTTTATAACCCAAAGATCGCAGTTCCTTTCAATATTCGCGCGTATCGGATCGTAACTTCCTGAATTATGGCCCCTGATTGTACGAAAAATCACGTTTTTAGCTTGTGGTCCCTCTAGAGGTCACAATTATTATCCGCTTAAAAAAATATGTTCGAATATCACCGTTACACCGTAATTGATGAGTTCGAATTTCTTGAAAATCGGACCAAAACTGCCTGACAAAATGGCCGCCCCTTGTTCGCAAATAGTGTAAACATCTGGTAAATCAATGTTGTGGACCCTCTAGAGGTCACAATCTTTTTCCGATTTTAAAAAACGTTTAAACACATCACGATTCCACCATAATGAAGATTGAATTCGAATTTCGGGAAAATCGAAATGAAACTGCCCGACAAAATGGCCGCCCTTCTTTCCCAAATTGTGTAGAAGTGTGTAATACGAAGGTTGTGGACCCGCTAGAGGTCACAATTTATTTCCGATTTTGATGAAACTTAAAACATATCTTTATATCCCAAAGATCTCAGTTCCTTTTGATATTTGCACATTTCAGGCCGGCAGACCACCATTAAATTTCACCATCTCGGTACCCAATTGTAGTTCGTCTATTTATAGCAATTCTCTCTCTGTCTCTTTTCTCCCCATTTTTGTTGATTTTTTGGTCTAGAATGGATGAATAGGGTTTGAATTGACATTTTCTGCCAGGTTTTGGTAAATATTCATGATTTTGAGGTGGAAGGATAACGGGGTTATCAGGTTGGCTACGGCTATATGTACGGCAACTAGTTACATGTTTTTAGTATGCTTCTTCTAGTTTGTGTATCTCAAAATTTTGGTGGTTAACCTCATACAAATTTTAGTGCAAAGACCTGACCATAATTTGTTCCTTTGTCTGTAGTGAAAACATTCAGCCCAACGAAAATTTGGGGAAAAGTTGGAGGTGGGCAAAGAGGCCAGAATTAACATTGAAGTCAATGGGGAAATTAATGGTGGTCTGCCTCCATAACTTTCTGGATTATTGACCCTGATTGTACAAAAAATTGCGTTTGTTTTTAGCTTGTTCTCTATCCATCTCTTGCAAAATGTGGGCGTATCCTGTCTGACAGCCGCTGGTTTTATATTCGCTAAGCTATAATGAGCAACATTTCAATCTGGTAAATTTTCATGGTTTTTTAAACATTGCACAAAACCTTTGTTTACAAACCGATTTTTACGAAACTTTTATTGAAATAAGCACCATATGGCCTTGCACTTTTTTCTCTTTTTTAAAAAGGAAAATTATGTCCGTCACTTTAAAAAAATATCTAGATTAAACATCAAATTCTAACTTTGAATGGTTTCCAAAAATTTTAAAACAAAATTGAAAATCTGATAAGAATTGTGGGAGGACATAGATTTTAAAGATTGGCTTTCATTTTTAAAATGGTGGTTCTTCAGGTTGGTTTAACTGTATGAGATAACTCTAAAAAAATTAATAGATTACTACTAATGACATGGTTTATAAATAAAAAAATTCAAAAGGGAGATAATCGGAAAAGATTTTGTCGAGATTTTTGACTTAGTTATCCCATTTATGACGGATTCTGAAAGTTTCGATATGTTGAAAAATGAACAAATTTAAATGCTCTTGGACAAAAGTAGGTGAAGTAAGTGCTTATTTTGAAAATTTCATCAAAATCGGTTTTGAAACAAAGGTCGTGTCAACTTTTTAAAACCTTTAATGTCAAAATAAATTATATCCGTCTTTACCGTTAGAAAGGAATAAAGGATAGGTCGTTTGTTTAGCAATACATCAATTGTGGTGTGTCCTGGCTCTCTCACGTTAAAATTCTTTTTTTACAATTGACGGCATAAAATCGACTTTTTGTTTCAAATTGCAAAAGCTTTGAAATCTGGTCAAATCTTGATATAAAACGATTAAGTAGGTCATGTGTGTCTTATTTACACACAGAGGTGTGATGACAGTAGGTCAATTCAATTTGATTCCTTTAATCCAGTTTCATCTGAGGAGATAAGGAAGATAATCTGTCAATCCAAACCAACATCTTGCTCTTTGGATGTTATACCGACACATTTCCTGCTTAAAATTCTGGATGCAGTTTTGCCCATTATTACGAGTCTAGAATAGTACCGGAATGTTTTAAAACTGCAGTAATCCAACGACTTATAAAAAAATGTCGACACTTTATCCACTGACAATTACTGAAAAATTATCGACCAGTATCAAATCTGGCCTTTCTGTCCAAAGATCTGGAGAAGGTTGTTATAAGCAGCAACTTCTTAAGTCATTTCGAAAAATTTCAACTCCTTGAGGAGTTCAAGTCTGCTTATCGCTCTGGCCATAGCACTGAAACAGCACTACTATGTGTTTTGGATGCCATAAAATCATCTGTCGATAAAGGAAAGATCGGAGTGTTGGTCCTTTTGGATTTATCAGCAGCTTTCGATACTATTGACCACGGCAACCCACTGGATCGACTGTCATCAGATTATGGACTAACTGGGTCCATTTTAAAATGGTTTTAATCCGATCTCACTGGATGATTTCAGTATGTTGAAGTTAACAACTCCTCATCAAGTCATCAACAACTCTTATGTGGCGTTCCCTAAGGATCCGTTTTGGGCCCGATAATCTTCACAATGTATACAAAGACGTTAGGTAAACTAATTCATGATCACAATCTGCTGTATCATTTTTATGCTGATGATTCTCAGCTCCTTGACAGCTCCAATCCACTTCCGATCGATCAAAATGTCATAAGAATCTGGAAGGGTGTCTCGATAATGTCAAAAAATGGATGTTATCCAATATGCTTAAACTTAACGATGAAAAAAATGAGTTTCTTCTAGTGGGTCCTGCTAACAGACTTAAGAAATGTGACATTCGATCGATCAACATTGGAAACACCGAAATTCCTGTCTAGAACTGTAAGAAATCTTGGAATTCTTGTCGATTCTCGTCTCAGTTTTTAAAAACCATGTGAACAATATCTGTAAAATATGGCATTTCCATCTCCGAAGGATAGGGCCCATTCGCCATCTATTAACAGAAGACGCTGCTGCAACCTTAGCTCGACCCTTCGTCCTGTCCAGAATAGACAATTGTAATTCGGTACTAACTGGTATTACG